GCAGAGTTTCTTGCGTGACATGTGGACTTAATAAATCCTTATCTTTAGCAAAATAAGCAAGCTGACATTCGGTACAACCTGTGTGTTTTATTTAGAATATATACAAATGTCATTTACATCTTTGGGTTTGTCAAGATAAAGCACCGTTTTTGAAGACTGCGCATGTGCGAACGTGCTCTACTATGTAAGAATGAGCCTATGTTTGAATCTGGAAATAAAGCGAAATAACTGAGAAAAATGAGAAGTAGTCCTCAGATGCCATGTCTGTAATTTACAGCAAAACATCTAGCATTCAATCGATCTCAATAATCTATAATAAATCAATAGTCTATAATAAAAAATAAAAAAAACATTCACCACTTAATTTATAAAATATTAATATCCATCATGCGTTCATGAGAACATTACAACTTGCTGATGCAAGTGCAGATGTTGTTACGTGAACGTGCATTGGAGATTAATATTTTGTAAATAAAGTTAAGTTAAAATTGTCGAAAAAAAAGTCGTAAAATTGGGGTCAAACCACTGGAGTCACATGGCTTACTTAAGCTTTCCTTTATACCTTTCCGTGGCTTTGGAAGTGATGAAAAAGGGAAAGAAATCTCTTAGATTTCATTAAAACGATCTTCACTAAGTGTTAGCAAAGCTCTTACTGATTTGGAACAACATGAGGGTGAATAATAATGACAGAATTAAAATTTTTGGATTAATTAAATTGTTAATTTACTTGGAAATTAGCATTCAAGTCTTAATCAAACCAAAATAGTGTTTGAGACATGAATGTCTGATGATTGAACTTTTTCCACCATAAAATGGCTGTATTAATTGTAATTGGTCTGGTTTTGTTTTGTCTAGAACCAGGATTTTTCGAGAAAGTTGGACCTGCGCAGCCTTTCCTGCTCTGTGAAACAACTATGTTGCTAAAGTTGCTAACTTTACTGTTAGCAACTAGAAACAACTGATCCACTCATTTCCTGCAATTGCTTTTCATCTGCTGAATGTTTTTGACTCAAGCGCTGCTGCTCTGCTGTACTGTTGCAAAGTCGAAGGTACCGAATCAACTTCATTTGACATTGATTCAATAATACAGTCGAGCACCATTATAACCAAACCTATAGGCGGCAATGTAGGGAGAAGGATAAAGCCATGCAAGCCAATCAGAATCCTTAGAATCGACAAGAGAGACCCTAAAACCTTATTTCTCCCCGTTAACCCGACAACACATAACCTGGCGTTTTCAGAAATCTCCACTTTGGCCGGAGTTTTTAGAAATAATGGTTTTCTGTCATAAAAACAGGGTTTTTGTGTAAATGACAGGCCAAACCATATAGGGAAATATCTGCGTTTTCCCTTCGTGTAAATGGGGCCTTACATTCACTGACATGTACAAGATTTGAAGTATTGCCGACCATTTGATAAGCAACTTTCATATAATTCTGATGAAAGAAATGCCTATATTGTGCCTTCATCGTTTATTTAAAAAAGTTAACCTATGATTTAAAGTGGCTTGTTCGTTAATAAAAAAAAACTAGTAGGCCTATGTTAAAACGACTGTTTGTATTTTGCCTTTATTTTTAACTTTACATTGAATACAGAATACTATGATCCCAGACTAAGGTTACAATTTTTTTATATATATATATATTTTAAAAACTTTATGGATTTCTGAAGTTTTGAAAGAGTAATATAGAGTGATGTTTATTTCAAAGTGAATTTATTCTTTTCAGATTAAATGATTTGTCAGGATTTTTTTTACACTTCTTTAAAGTAGCTAAAGCAGAACCATAATAAGAACAACTTTTGAGGCAACACTTTTGTGTTGAAATTGTTCATTTTCGGATTTCAAATTTACTTAATAGAGATCTAAAATAAGAACGAAAGTGTGGTAAATTTCTTTCAGATTATTATTTTTTAAACAAATGAATAATAAAAAATACATATTAAATCAAATTTACAAATTTAATAGTTTACATTTTATAATTATAGAATATATATATATATATATATATATATATATATAACGAGGTAGTGTACAGAGGATATGCTGATAAATATGGTGATCTGAGCCTTGCTCATTGTCAATCAACAGTTATATAACAAATTTTGTTTTACCTGGTTTGAAGGACAGAAGAAAAAGAAATAATACAAGAAGAGGATTTCCTGCCATCGTTATAAACTAAAACGATAAAATGAAACACAAAAAGAGTGCTGTGGCTCCCTATGTGTAAAAGCGGAAACATGAAGCATTGAACGAAAAAAGTTCCTCTTCCGATGAGGCGTGGTGGTGCAGGAAAGGGTACTATGTGCAGAGCAACAGCTTATAAGTCATGTGCAACACGAAAGAACATTTCATCTGCAGGAAACATGAGAGCATTAAAAAAAGAAGCAAACTTTCCAGTGCTCAGTCAGCTGAAGCTTCAGCAAAAAAAAAAAAAAGACACTTCCTACTCAGCAGTGTGTGTGAGTGCACTGTTAAACTAATGAAACCAAATTTGATCAGAATGTATAGCCCTCTGATGGTCTTCAAAAAAAGTCACAATTCTGGTCTTTGGGGTCTATCAGATCCCAGACATAACATTTAATTTTGTAACAGAATAATATATTTTTTTAACTAATATAATTTTACTCTGTTTATTAATGTTTTTACTCAACATTTGTGTAGTTTTTGGCGGATGTTAGCAGCATTTTATGTTAAATAAACTTTATAAAAGACCCAGATTTCTAACTTTCATTCCTGGGGATACCATGGATAATTTTACAAGGTTGAATGTAAGATTTTTGCCCAATTTTTGGAAAATACAGGTTAAAATTTGTAAGTCACTTTAACCACTAGATGGCTATAGAGCTCCACTAGGCCTATATATTATTTGAATTACTGAAAGATATAGTTTCTAAAGTTGGATTCAGTTGGATTCATATCTAAATATTATAAAATCACAATTATAACAAAAATAAAATACTTTTTGTCAAAGTTTAGCATTTGTTTTTGTACTGAAAAAACAACAGTTTTTTAATAATGTTACATTATGATTAGAATCAAACCTGAACAACATGTTACAAAGAGAAATGTTGGAGTCTTAAGATTTGATCGTTTATTTCAACTGAACAGCAATAACAAATTAGCTAATAAAGCAGTAAAAATAAAATATTTGTAAAAAAAATAAATAAATAAATTGGGAAGAAAATCGAACATATTTATATTTTACAGTATTTTATTTTACAAATGATAAGAGAACAGTTTTTATAGTCTGTATGTATTCCTGTATATTGTATTCCTCTATATGTGTGTGTGTGTGTGTGTGTGTGTGTGTGTGCACGTGTGTGAGCATGATCATTTTGGATTGTGGAAGTTTTTTTGCATTTTTGGAAGTGTGCCACTTTATTTGATAAATTTGATAATGTTTGATAAATTTGATAATGATAAATAAATATTATTTATTTATAGATATTTAAAAGATATCATAAATCCTCCAAAAACTGCACAAATGTTGAGTAAAAACATTAATAAACAGTAAAATAATATTTGTAAAAAAAAAATATATATATTGTTCTGTTACAAAATTAAATGTTATTTTTCTGGGGTCTAATGGACCCCGAAGACCACGAGTGTGACTATTTTTGTCACGCCTACATAAAAACAGATAACATTTAATTTTTTTTTTTTTTTTGTAGATCTAGAAAGTGTTGAGACCCGTAGGAAGTTTCATACCATTTGGAGAAAGATAACTTTTTTTTTTAATTCAAGCAAATGTCATTTGGGGTCCAGTAGACCCCGAAGACCATCAAAGAGGAGAAATGGTAATATCAGTAACCTTATTTGGAGAAACAGAAAGTAACACTGGAAAAAAACACGTGACATGTCATGTTCATGCTTACAGTATGGAAATATTTACACACTTAAACCAGACAAATAACAAAATGTTATGCAAGCAAATGATGCTAGATCTCAGAACTCTAACTTTAATTCTCTGAACCTTTTTTGTGCAGTGACTTCAGTCACTTTTTTATGTTGGTGGTTTTTAATGGGTGTAGTCAGTTGCCCTCACTTCCTAATATACGTTATTACATTTCACAACCACAACACAGTGGCAAAGCGTGTTATCTTGAATGTCAAACAATATATTTACATTTATGCATTTGGCAGAAGCTTTTATCCGAAATGACTTAAATTTGTATTGAAGGTATATACTGTACGTTTTATTTTTGCATTTTAAGATTTTGCATTTGAATCGAACCCATGACCTGCATGTATGTCTGAGCTATAGGAATGCTGCATGTGTATAAATTTTATAAATATTGAAACATTTTTTTTTCTAAAATGTTTTGCTTAATGTGTGTTAGTTCTATCTTTCTTTTAAAAACCTGTCCTTTTTTGATCTTTTTTAACTCAAATGCAGTGACATCAAGTGTGACTTAAAAGTTGCTTTAAGTAAGGCTGTTGTGTATCAAGCATAGATCATCTCATGTGTTCAGATACTTTTTTACATTTGGTCAGATACATTATTTATGTATTTTTATATTCATTGTTTTTATTCTGTAGCTGATGCTTCAAAACAGATGATCTCAGTTCATTTGCAAAATTTAGTTTGTTTTGGCCCTATTTCCATCTGTATGTAGCACTGACCACTTGCAGTTTAAGAGATAAAAACGAATCTTAAACAAGGCCCAATGGTCTTTAATAGATTTAAAAATAGCTTACTGCAATGTCTCCATCTGGTGACCAACTACAGACATTTTGTCGTACTGAAATAAGGAATAATATAGTAAAATATAGTTATGAGGACACACAATTGACATTAATATTAGAAAAGCTTTCAACCACTGGAGAGAATTAAGCATGCAGAGGTTGCATTGTTCTGGTTTTGAGTGTCAATATTTGTGTTTTATATATATATATATATATATATATATATATATATATATATATAAATAACTGGGTCCTCATTAAATTATGGAGTAATTGTTAAACAAAATATTTGTGGGAAAAAAAATATATAATATTTGAGTTACATAAAAGGTTTTTATTTGTTTTCTTCCTAATTGTCCTTGAAATAGTGGTCAAGATTATATGACTCTTGTGGCATTAGCAACTGAAAAAAGGCATAATCTTTGCTGCTGTCAGAAAATAATTTATCAATTCAGACTTATTTCAGTTGCAGAAGGATTGGATATATCCATGTTTTATTGAAAAGGTTTAATTCTGAGGAAAGCAATAATAATAAATTATTAGTAATTATTAAATTAGTTCTCCATGATGTATACATTAACACTTGATTATCTGTGCATTAAAGCACAAATGCATAGTGTACCAGTATTGTATTGTAAAGTGTTACCAAGAAAAGACTACATTTTTAATGTGTGAGTCGATCAAGATGATGCGTAGCACACAGTATTTTACAGAACTAAAATTGACGAAATGAGAAAAAAGTGTAAATCTATTTTCAACTTACTTTTCAATTACTTTTTCAGAACAAAAGATCAAACTGATGAACGAGCGGTTTTTCATTGAAAATACTGTATGTTGACTGATGGAAAGAAAAGTTGATTGACTATGATGCAATTCCCAAAAAAAGACACATTGTCCCCAAAATATATGTCCACAACTGGAGAGATGGCTCAGTCTTGGTGTCACTTGAGTTGTTTTCTGAAAAGTGAGACACACGTCATTAAGAACTGCAGTTGACAGGTCATGTATTCTGAGGTCACTCAACAAAACAGTAGTTAGACTAACCAAACTGAGACATTTGATTTGAGAGATGTTCATTTTAGCAAATGTATTTGTGTGTGTTTGGAAAGATACCTTTATTATTGACACAGAGCTGGGTGATGTTTATTCTGTCTTTTTTCCAGCTAACTGGGTTGCTATGGTTACAGATGATTGATTCCTCACTGCAGTGCAGGAGTAGAGTGTTGATTTGTGATGTCACTTCCTCTGGAGAGCATTTGTTGTTCTGATAGCTGGAGTTTATCTTGAGGTCATGAGCTCTGCATGTGAAGTTCACAGTACAGGAGTTACCACTGAACCAGTTTGAGTTTACAGTCAGAACAGGATCCTCCACAGCGTCTAAAACACATTTTATTTTTAAACAATATCATACATCACTCTATTTTAAGCCATCAAATTCCTATAGATGTTTACCGAGTGTACTAACTGAAACGTTGGCAGATAAATTATGAATAAAAACACATTTTTATATTTAATATTTATTTTTTACATTTAATTTCACTACTTGTATCGTACAACAGTCAAGAATAAAAGACTGAACATAAATGATACGAAAGCGCCAAGCAAAATCACACTCACCTATAACAGATACTCTGTATGTAACAATATTTTTATCTGATTCTCCAGTTGTTCTGGCTGTATAGAGTCCACTGTCTGTCTTCTGCATGTTCTTCAGTGTGAGAGAGAAGCTTTCATCATTGAAATCCACTCTGTCCTTGTAGGAAGAGTGAGGTTTAACTTCTTTAGTTCCTCTTATATATCTAACTATATTCTTTGATTTATCATTTATCCAGGATAAAAAATCAAACTCTGGTAGTTTCTGAGTCTGTATATCCAGTTGAACAGAATCTCCCGTCTGCACAAACACAGGGATGTCAGCACTGAACCCTGAGGAGAGAGAAAGAGTTTCTGGCCACAGCTGGTGAATTCACTAGACCAATAGAGAGCCTAAGTCCCTCCCCTTCCGGTCGACCACCATGGGACTTTATTTCGGAAAAATATTGAATGTCAATGGCGAGAGACAACAAATATTTTGATCTTGTTTGAATTGTGCCCTGAATTACACATATGATGTTTGTCAATTTAAAAGATTAATTTTAAAGTAAAGACAGTCGCAGTTTGATGTAAAACCGTTGAGGTATAAGACTGTGAAAATACGTAATTACAAAGACAAACCCCAAAGGCGCACATTTTCTCTCAATGAATGAAGCTAACTTTACTGAGGCTAATGTCTGTCATTGTTTCTATAGTCTTATGTTATAATCGTAACGTTACGCCGTCGTACCTGAGTGTTTTGTACTATAACTGCACACACACGAGATTTGGATCTCTCGCTTCCCGGGAGATGTAGTTCACAGACCGATTTTCACATAAAACTAAATGTTACTCTTCTGTTGTATGACAAACTGCGACGTTTTTGACTTTCAGAATTAACTTTTAAATTGACAAAACATCATATGTGTAATTCAGGGCACAGTTCAGACGGAATAAAAAGATAAGTTGTCTCTCGCCATTGACTACCATTCATATTTTTTCCGAAATTAGGTCCCATGAGCCGGAAGCGGAGGGGCGGGATTTAGGCTCTCTATTCACCTTTGGCTAAGCCACGCCCTAGAATGTAGATTGACCAATCACAGCGCAGCCAAGAACGAGCTCCCACAGAGGTCGGACACTTTTTCACAGCGCTCCATTGACTTTCAACACAGGCGTCTCATATTTTTGGTCTCGGCAGGCTATTACCGTCGTAGTTTTATCCAAAATATGGTTAAACGTTGTGCCTCGGGCATTTGTAACACAGAGACGCGTTTCCCAGAGAGGTTGGAGGGCGGTGTCCATTTTTTCTCTTCCCAAAACCGAAGTAAAATCCTGACAAGTGTCGTCTTTGGAAACTGTGTGGATGTCTTCAGTCAGCTAAACCCCTCAAAGATCAACAAGCACAACTTTTTTTTACTTCTAACATTACTGTGAGTGTGAAGTTATACTAGTTAGACCGTTTTATAATGTTTTAGGTTATGATTTCAGTTCTCATACCGGTTGTTGACACGCTAGCACACGCTGCCAATAAATATAACGTTATACACGTGTAATCCGTTTGCTTTGTAATAACGATTATAGAAGAGAATAGAGACCTACCCAGCTTTGCATGAACAGTGTTGCTCCCTGATATTGTTAGTCTCAGCCTCAGTCTCGATTAGTAGGAAATGCGGTGGTTCATTTTTTGACTGTGACCGGTAACGTTATGCTTTTGCCTCTGTTTTGGATGCCTTGTTGTTTCTTGCGTTTCACCTGTATGTCTTGAATATAGCCTTCGAACGCATATTGCAGCCCCTTTTGCCTACTTCTATCGGACACTTTATTTGCTGCTTTATAAAAGTTTGATAACATTTCAGCAGGAAGAGCTGTCACAGAATCAGCCATGCAGAGCGCAGATGAAGTTTGGCGGATATAGCAACAGTAACTAAGGGGGGCGGGGCTTAGCCAAAGGTGAATTGTATAAAATGGGCATTGGTTTGTTTATTTATTTATATAGCACCTTATAGGCTACCACCGTAGTTCCAAAGTGCTGTACATTGCAATAAAAAGCAACAGAACAATAAGACAAAACATGAAAACATACATGTACTAATTTTCTAATTTCTAATTTCTAACATTAAGAGTTAATGGATGGATGCCGAATTATTCCACAATCTAGGACCAGTGACAGAGAAAGCACAATCACCCTTCAGTTTGAGACGCAAACAGGGAAGAGTTAGAAGAAACTTGTTTGATGATCTTAGTCTTACTCCTGAACTTTAGGGCTAAGTATTCTGAAGTGCTTTAAAAACATATTTCAGAGTCTTATATGCCTCCTAAAATGTATTGGTAGCCAAAAAAATATAACAAGGGAGTAACATGATCTGTGTGCAGCATTCATTAACAACCTTGCAGCAGCATTTTGTACTAGCGGCAAGCGAGCAACCTGTGTTTGAAAAGTCCCAACATAAAGTGCAACCATAATCTAGATGGGAAAAAATATAAGCGTGGACAACTTTTTCCAGGTCGCTAGTTGTGAGAATTGGTTTCAATTTGGCTATTGCGTAAGAAGCAATTACAAACCACTGTATTTATCTGTCCATCAAATATGATAGATTAGTCAAAAAATTAATTGATCCTGTAGGTACCCATGGACCTAAAGTTATTGATTATCATTTGTCTACCAGCTGTGCGACCAACAGTAATATTTATGTTGTGTTTTCATTCAATTGAACAAGATTTTCAGCCAAGGAAACTTTCAACCTGTCTTTCTTCCACGTCTTACTGCTCTTCTACATTCCCATTTAAGAGCCTGCGTCTGTTCATTTAGCCAAGGTTGTGTTTTGGCTTTCTTTCCTTCGTTTTTATATGGAGCAAAACAGTCCATGATGTTGATACAAAATTAAATGTTGTAATCAGCTCATCAGGATCGACAGAGGTAGATGCAGATTCAATACAAGGGATTTGTGCAGAGGCAATAAAAGCGTTTCTCTGATGCTGTAAATGACAATCAACATAATCAACATGTGTTTTTACCTGTTTTGAAGGTCAGAAGAAAAAGAAATACGAGGAGGTGAAGTACTGCCATATTCACAAAATGAAAAGATTAAAACAGAACTGAAAATGACTGCTGCTGAAAACTTTTTGTGTAAAAACCTCTTTGAGTAACACACACATCCTTATGTTGCCGCACATATTAATGAGAAGTCAAAATGTGATTACACTGCATAAAACAGGACTTCTGAGGAACTTTCCATTTCCGTTATAGGGAGACTCAGCACCAGTCATTTTCAGTTCTGTTTTTAATCTCCCTCTGTCGATCTGAGTTCATTTCAACATTTTATTCTGTATGTACTCATATTTCGTTTTTTTAAATATATGCAAATTAGTGCATATTTAATTAGATTTTGCATATTTAAACCTTACATTTTTGCTCAGTTTCTGATCTCAGCTCAGTGATAACATTTAGTTTGTTTTGACCATTTCCACCTGAAACAGGATCTTATTTAATATATGTAAAGATAATGTAATGTCTAGTGGCCAATTGCGTTCATTTTGTCATACTCAATTACTGATCAATATAAATGTCACCTGACCTTCGTTTTCAACTTTCGAGTCAGTGACTCACAACCATGCCTCCAGTATAAAAAAACAAACAAACAAAAAAAAATCTTAATGTGTTCATGTCATTAACAAAAATATAAAACTTTTTTGCTTGTTTTGTGAAAACTATGACTGAAAATCTTCCCCTTTGCAAAAGAGAGAGAAAATATTGTGAATGAAAGAAATACTGTTAATAGTGCTTAAATCACATTTGTTATTTGTTTTGCACTCCTTTAATATATGAAGAGAGAGATTGAAGAGACATGATTATATAAATCCAATTCATATTATGAGCTGTATAATAATTCAGAACACAGTTAATGAAACAAACCCTATAATGACAATCAGGCAATACAACAAGCATCACTGACTTCCATGCTTGTGCATTAAGATCTATTGAACACAGCATCTACTGTTTACCGCCACATATTTATATTCATCCTCATTTATGAATGACCAAGTTGTCTCCCTTTTGAGGATTTACGCACTACTGAATAAATTGTATTGTCTGTTTCATTAGGAAGTGATGTTTTTTGGTGTTGTCCTATTGTACTGTAGGTGGTGCTGGGGGGATTTTCTGTTTGCACCTCTGCCCGTATCTGTGAATATATACATACAGAGTAAACACAAATGAAGTAGGCCTACATACGTTTTCCTTCTATCTGTCTGTCTTTGTTTGCAAGGCTTTGTATTAAAAGTGTCTGCATAATGAGGAAATTAATTGTCTTCTATTGCTTACCTCAGGACTAGGCCTGTTCTGACTGGTATTGTGAGTATGTTTGTGTTCTCCTGTAACCCCATACACAGTTTCAGGATTCGCTGATTTCTCCAACATCTCCAAAGGTCTTTGCTCTTTAATCTTTGGCTGAAGAACAATCCAATCAAACAGTCACAAACCCTTCTGTACATGCACATTTACAATAATGGCTAGTATGTGGACACTAAAGAGGTTTGATGTATTTCCAATAATTCTACCTTTTTACACTTCTAGAGAATTATGTATATTATTTTGTTATTTATACTATTATGTAACGTACTGATTTTATATTACGTTTCAGCATCAGTCAAACATGGAGCGCCCTCTAGTGGCAACAGGCAAGAATAAATTAACCCCAAAACATCACATTCATTCATTCTTGAATTGAAAGCATTTATTATCTAAGATGACTGCAAATAATGTGAAGCTTACCTGAACTTGTGCATAGATCGTTTGATTGTTCTCTTCGTGGGCCCCTATGAGATTTAGAAAAGTATTACAGTTTTTCTCAATTGCTAAAACGCTAAACCCTATTGTCTGAAGTTCTTAACCAAATGCTCAGTTGCCTGAACCCACTGATTGAATCAATCACTCTTTTGACAAAACCATAAGCACTTTTCGCCTGTTTAGACACAACTTGCCAACACAGCACAGGTGACAAAAGTCAAACACAATTAAAGCACATGTGTCACCACTTGAACACAACAACTCAAAATTGATCACACTTGTGGCTAATGATGTGAGGGAACATACAGTAAGCCAGTTCATATAGGCTAGAGCACTGGTTTGTGAGGCCCTACAGGTTAGAAATCTGAGAGGAAGAGTTTGTGTCAGGGGAGGTCGAGGTGGTCAGTGAAGACAAAGAACAGTAGCCTAATATCTGATGAAATCAGAGCTACTGTGATTGACCATGTTCTTGTTCATGGTATGAGCATGATGGAGTGTCCACCATAATCCGAAGATTTAGAGAAGAGAACAGGTAATTACCTTTTTTTGAAATTATAGACAGTACAGTATGTAAATGTTGACATCAATTACTGTATGACATACTACTGTACCACAGTATAGACCTTATGTAGCCCCGCCCCGCTTCCGGTCTGTATTTTCACAGCGATCTATTCACCTTTGGCTAAGCCACACCCTAGAATGTAGATTGACCAATCACAGCGCAGCCAAGAACGAGCTCCCACAGAGGTCGGACACTTTTTCACAGCGCTCCATTGACTTTCAACACAGGCGTCTCATATTTTTGGTCTCGGCAGGCTATTACCGACGTAGTTTTATGCAAAATATGGTTAAACGTTGTGCCTCGGGCATTTGTAACACAGAGACGCGTTTCCCAGAGAGGTTGGAGGGGGGTGTTAGTTTTTTCCCTTCCCAAAACCGAAGTAAAATCCTGACAAGTGTCGTCTTTGGAAACTGTGTGGATGTCTTCAGTCAGCTAAACCCCTCAAAGATCAACAAGCACATCTTTTTTGCTTCTAACCTTACTGTGAGTGTGAAGTTATACTAGTTAGACCGTTTTATAATGTTTTAGGTTATGATTTCAGTTCTCATACTGGTTGTTGATACGCTAGCACACGCTGCCAATAAATACAACGTTATACTCGTGTAATCCGTTTGCTTTGTAATAACAATTATAGAAGTGAATAGAGACCTACCCAGCTTTGCATGAACAGTGTTGCTCCCTGATATTGTTAGTCTCAGCCTCAGTCTCGATTAGTAGGAAATGCGGTGGTTCATTTTTTGACTGTGACCGGTAACGTTATGCTTTTGCCTCTGTTTTGGATGCCTTGTTGTTTCTTATGTCTTGAATATAGCCTTCGAACGCATATTGCAGCCCCTTTGCCTACTTCTATCGGACACTTTATTTGCTGCTTTTAGTGCTTTATAAAAGTTTGATAACATTTCAGCAGGAAGAGCTGTTACAGCATAAGCCATGCAGAGCGCAGATGAAGTTTGGCGGATGTAGCAACAGTAACTAAGGGGGGCGGGGCTTAGCCAAAGGTGAATTAGGTGAATGAACTGCTCGTAAAAAATTTCCCGGTCGCCGTTTGTTAAGACTTCTTTATATGATAAACATTACAATGCTCATGATAACTTTTGTTAACTCTACAATAAGTGAATCCACTTCACCAGCTAATTACTCCTTGACAGCGATGCCATAAAAATATACAGAACGACCGCAAAAACGGAAGACAATATTCTAAAGATGACGGCGCCCACGTTTCTCCTGGTGCATAAGGTCTATACACTGTAAGTCAATATACGTTTCAGTACATCACTGTACCAATGTAACGTTAATGGAGGGCTGGTCTAACTGTTTGTAGGCCTAGGATTCCATGTAAATTTTTGTACTTTATTTTTACATGGTCTTACTGGACACAAGTGGCAAACGCATTCGATTTCTGTTTGTTTTTACAAGTGCTATGTGTAAATGCACAAGATTTCGGTTTTGTCTTTTTGTACAAGTGCTAAATGAACAGGGTTTTTTTTTCTTTTTTTGCAACATGCATTTAGCCTAAAGTGAACAATAAACATTTATTTCTCCTGTCCTGCTTCATGTCCTGAGCATTGTTTTCTATTTTTCTACGTTGTGTTTAGTGACTGTTCAGTTGTGTTTTTAATTTAGATTGGCTCGGGGCACGATTTGACAACATACAGTAGTTCAGTTTTGAGCACAGATTGAAGTGAAAGTTTGCTTTAGCAATAGTCTGAGGTTTTCTGAATGTAGCTTGAAAATTGGGTGTTTTGTTCACAGTTTAGAGAAAAGGAGAGCAGCTTCCAAGAAATGTGACTTAGCAATCGAGAAAAACTGTATTTTACAGAATCAACTGACCATTATTGTCACCACAGAAAGTGTTAAGTGTGACTATTTGTGTGTGTTCTTTCCCTTTTCTTCAGCCAGCGACTTGAGTACCTAGAATAAATTGAGGATGCAGTCCTTTCTATTTCATTAAGACAAAAATACCTTTTTTAAGCTTCTTGTAAGAGCAGTATATTACAGATATCGCAGCAAAAACCAACAGTGGAACAACAGCGATGATCAAGAGCCAATGGAGAGGAAAAGAACTGTTGCTTTCTTTGGGATTCGCTGCTGAAATGCAAGACATCGCATTAACAACTACAGCCATCAGAACACTCATACTTATTGAATTAGAGATACTTTTTAGCATTGAGAATACATTTTAAAGACAATAATTATAGATGATGTAAGTTATTCAGCCTACTTGAGTTGAGCTCATGTGGTGTACAAAGTTGGTTGATCTCTATGGTGTCATTCTTCCAGCTGACTGGGTTGCTATAGTTACAAACAACTATGTTCTCTATACAATGCAGGGTTAGAGTCAGCATTTCAGAGGATGTCACTTGCGCTTGACTGCAGTTGTTGCTGTGGTAGCTGGTGCTGAGTGTAAGGACATAACCATTACATGAGACATTCGCAATACAGGAGTTAACACTGATCATGGTGGCGTTCCAGTTCAGAACAGGAGATTCCACTGGATCTGAAACATATTTAAGAAAATTTAGCTTGAAGATATGGGTTAAATGACTTTTTAAAGAGAATTTTGTTGCTAAGACAATTATTCTGGTGCTTTTCTGCTCACTTGATGTTGAGCGACTTTCTATTTGAGACTTTACTTGGATTCTTTTAAGATAAAGTGAGCTGACTTCCTGGTTTGCTTTTTGCCACACTTTGTTTGCGAGTTAGCCTAATTTTAGTTAATATTAGGCCATTTCCGTATAATAACGATGTTTTTTGCCACTGCAGATTTGAGATTGAAAAAAATACAGTTTGTTTACTCTGTAAGTATATGCACAACCAACCCGATCTCACGACCAAGTCGCACGAATTCAACGAATGATTAAAAAGTGGCTAATTCGTAACAATTCATACGACCTCACTCATATGAATTAGTACGATTTTGCTTAATCGTACATATTTTACGAATTGGCCATGAATCGTGTGAATTCGTACGAATGGCCTACCCCTTACCCCGCCCGTGGATTCACGTGGATTTAGACAAATCGTAAGAATTCGTACGAGTGAGGTTGTACGAATTAGACACTTTTTAATCATTCGTCGAATTCGTACGAATTGGTCGTGAGATAGTGTTGCTAACAATATCCCTAAATCCATAAAGCAGATTCTCTTGATATTCTGATCTGAAAAAATTTCAGACAATCACCTATAACTGACACATTGTGTTCAGCAACAATTGTTTCTTTTTCTCCGATTGTTTTTGCTGTGTAGAGTCCACTGTCGGTCTTCTGCATGTTCTTCAGTGATAGAGAGAAGGTTTCCATGTTAAAATCCACTCTGTCCTTATATAAACTGTGAGGTGTTGCATTTCCAGATTGATTTACAAATCTGACTACATTTTTTGATTTATCATTTGTCCAGACAAATCTGTGGCACTGTGGCAGTGCTTTATTTTGTATGTCCAGTATAACAGAGTCCCCCGTCTGTACAAACACACGGCTTCTGGAAGCTGAGGAGAGAAACAAGAAGAGAAGTGATTTAAAAAAATGTGTCATGCCTTGGTTTGAATGTTAACTTTTAAAGGGTTAGTTCACCCAAAAATGAAAATTCTGTCAGTATTTACTCACCCTCATGTTGTTCCAACCCCGAAAGACTTTCGTTCATCTTATTATAAAAATTAAGATATTTTTGATGAAATCTGAGAGCTGGATCACTCCTCCCTAGGCTTCATCAGGGATTGAAACTTGCCTGCCCCGAAAAGTTATTAAAGACATTGTTAAAATAGTCCAAGTGACTACAGTGGCTCAATCAATCTTAAGTTTATCAAGCGTTGAGAATACTTTTTGTGCACAAAAACAAACAAAAATAATGACTTTATTTCAACTATTCATGTCAGTTAACCTCTTGTCAGTTAACGTAGTGTGATAGCGTAGAGCTACGTCACACGTAGGCTCACTATTGACCGACGCTGGTCATGTGTGTGATGCGTGTGACGTACAACAACAGAATCTTACGCTGTTGAACTAGTAACCTGACTCGAGGCCCAGTGAGAAGGACATGAATAGTTGAATAAAGTCGTTGTTTTTGTTTGTTTTTTGCACACAAAAAGTGTTCTCGTCGCTTTATAAACTTAAGATTGAGCCACTGTAGTCACTTGGACTATTTTAACGATGTCTTTAATAACTTTTCGAGGCTGGCAAGTTTCAATCCCTCAAGAAGCCTATGGACTAGTATGGAGGAGGGATCCAGCTCTCAGATTTCATCAAAAATATCTTAATTCCTGTTCTGAAGATGAACGAAGGTCTTACGGGGTTGGAACAACATGAGGGTGAGTAAATACTGACAGAATTTTCAAGTCACGTAGGCCTATATATAAAAACTAGATGTCCAAATTAAACTAAGGCATAATCCTGGTTTAGTCCAAACCCTGTCTGTGAAACCAGGCATGAAGTATATTTTCCTGTTTAAACTACTAAACCTTTACTATACTTAAAATTGTACTAAGTATAAGAACTTTAAACTATACGTTCACTTGTAAGTTGCAGTACAAAGAAAAAGTGTATTTGTAAATAGTTGTGTGCTAAAAGTTTACTACTGTTATACTTAAAGTATACTTTGTAAACTAAAATGTGGGCCACTTTAGTCCCAAGTAGTATTGAAATAGTACACAAGTAGCAATAGTAGCCTACTACTAGTAGATTGATATTAGTATACTTACATAAAGTACACTTAAAAATATGTTATACATAGTAATTAATAAAATTAATGTAAGTTTACTTTTTTGTGTTTTTTTTTTCTTCTCAGAATCGAAAGATCTATTATTCTGTGGCTTTCTTAGACGGCTAACTCAGCTGCATTCATCATTTTTTCACTAGGTGGGTCTGTAATCTTAGTTTCAATATGGAGGTGGCTCAGTTTACTATATATATATATATATATGTATATATGTGTGTGTGTGTGTGTGTGTATATATATATATATATATATATATACACGCAGATTCCAAAAGAGGATTTTCATAGAATAATTATTTTTGGTTCCCCAAAGAACCTTTTAAGTGAACAGTTCTTAAACCATTTTTTTCTTTAGTGTAAATAACATTAAATAACCTAAAAAAGCCCTTCTTTTTTCCATTATAATGAACCTTTTATGGAATGATAATGATAATGTTCCATGGATGTTATAGGTTCTTCATAACCATCAATACCAACAAAGAACCTTTATTTTTAAGAGTGTGTGGCTAAAGAAATGGCACTAACAAAAGAGTGTTTTTTTTTTTTAACAAATTCCACATTAATCTGTCTCTTTAATTCCAAGTAACATTTTTTTTATTTTATTTTTTTACGTTGATTAACTGCTTGGTAGAAATCTTTAAAAAATAATAATAATAATTGTTTATTTGAACAGAAAGTACTCTTTCAGAGGCAGCTGTTTTCTCTGTTGAATTTGTCCTCACTTACCAAGAGGTAGATTTTTTTCGTCTTGCTAAGCAAAATTATTATGTTCGTACACGCAATTCTAAAGATGTTGTGAGTAAAGATAACTGAGAGTGACAACATGGAAAGCTGTGAATGTTTTTACTGCTGAGGTTTGGCACCTCAGTGCAGCGTGTCCTGCTTTGAAACGGAAATCTAGCAGAAAGGCTAAAACTCTTCAAAGAGCAAGGCCTAGTTGACATCTGTGCATCTTTATCGACTGCTGATTCGCATTCAAACCGCTCTTTTTCAATGGAAGTGTCCTTTGAGTCGAAGTCCAAAGCCAAACTTCACTCCTGAATCCCTATTTCTAGTTTTCACTATTTTCTTGTTAATAAATCTACTTTTGTTTGACATCATACATAATATTTTGAGTAAGCGCACATTCGTTTATGTTACAGCGGGCCCTAGGCAGTTTTAAATCATTTATAATACAAATAAATGCAAATATTAGTGACCTACTACTTGAATGTCATGTGATCTCCAAATCAGTTTAAGTGAATTTCTGGAATGTTTTGCATGTTCGAATATTGTTTACAAACATATATCCAGTCATGGAAAAGAAATGCTGTTACATATTGCATATAAGAATAGAAAGTGTACCATTAATCATGTGAGCAACTTTCCATACCTGTACTGGAGAGAGTTGTCATGAAGAGCGTTAGAAGGTGAATAAATTCCATTGCAACAGACAGATGGTGTCGATCCAGGTGGGGTGATATAGCACCTTCTTGTCAAGAAGAAGTTGGTCGTTTTGTCTGAAACACTCAGTAAACCTTATTTAAGTGGTCTAGCCAAAAATGCATATTGCAAAAACTAAAAGTCACGTTGTAGCCTATACTGTATGTCTTTTGTTCTGCTCTTCGTCATTGTCTTATAGCCTGTCCTTGCATCTGTAAAACTGAGCTCAACTGCTCAAAGTGGTGCTAGAATGACACAAGCCCCTTCAAGAGCTCAACAAAGGAAGATCTTACTGCCTTTGGTTTCTAACCTCTTTTTTTATATAAACCACTAGCCCTTCGCTGTGTGTGTGAGTGCAGACCAAACGCTGCACTTGTCAACCTACACTATCAGATTTTTTTTCAGAAGCCAAAAATTAAATCTCACCTCAATCTCATGTAAATTTCATACCAATTTATTGGACAGAAGATTAAAGTCAAACATAAACATAAAAAGTCCAATCAACTGACAAAACAAACAAAGTCAACAGGGGAGTAGGCTACAAGTTTTTTTCCAGGGCATTTGGTACAGGTGGTATAGTTTTAGGACATTAGATCAGCTTATTTAAACTTAATGTCCCATGTTTTTTACACATGCATCACAAATGTGGGATATACATAGGTCACCATTAACTTCGTACGGAAAATACTTTAAAGCTCATGATTTCTCAGCATATGCAAAAATTGTCTCAAACTTTTCTTAAAAGAGCCTGTGTTGTTTTCTCTGCAGTGCCAGTAAGCATTCTTTTATCTTCAACTTTGCCTTATATCATGGCCTGTTTACCTTCTAGACACAGAGAGAGAGAGGGGTGAAAGAGGTGAGGTGAGGCAGATCAGATCAGATAACTGAAGCTGAAGCCCACATATACTTCCTCTTTCAGAGAGGACAAGTGCTGCTTAAAAACTCCTGTGATAGATCATGTGATTTTATTTTAAGAAATGGTCAGTGCACAGCTGTGTCTTTTTTTCTTTTGCCTCACTGTATTTTCTATATGTATACTTTTAAAAATACATGTATTTTTTTTTATTTATTTAATAGGGGTCTTTTTTAAGCTCACTGGGTGTTGTGCTCCCACTTCTTTTGAGAAACTATTCTTGTGATCTGAGCTTCTCCTTATTTGGACTTTCTCTAGCTTACTTCCTCCTTGTGATCTGCCTTACTGACTGGAGTTTTTTTTTTTTTTTTTTTACTGTACTTAAGCACAAACATATAATATGTTTGCAGAGATTTAGGAAACATGCTAAGTTCACATACTTGTTTTGGGAACACCGATTTACCAAACCAGTTTTACTGGCTTGAGCTTCAGTAAATCTTTTCTTATAAATCCTCAGGTGACCTGAGAAACATCCACCCTTACGTCGTGTGTACCGTATTTTCTGTCGTCTGTTTAGATTGTCGTTCTGTCGTCTCATCCTGAAGCAAAGTATTCTTTAAAAGTAATAAATTATCTTACCAATGCTGATGCCTCTCTCTATCTCGCCTGTGATCTTGATCTTCTTGCTTCTTTGACATGAACGTGTTAAATTTGCAAAAAGCGAGTAGATTTATATTAGTTTTGTGGAGACACGATTACGTTGCAAACAGTTTTAATGAAACTGATAGCTATCTGATCGTTTAAAATGCATCAATGACCAGGTTTAATAGTAATAAACTCAGAAACTTAAAAATGGCACTTCATGACAAAAAGGTTGCCGACGTGCCCCGTTTAAAGGAGAACTCCGGTGCACAATGAACCTTTGGTCTAATAAAACATCGGTACATCGAGATTTGCTTTCATGATAATCGAATGTAAAGAGTTTTATCTCTAAAAACTGTTTAGCGTATAATGCTAGTAATGGGGGCATTGACTAAGTAAAAAGAAATCGCTAGTTTATACCACTAACAAGGCTCAAAATAGCCCCACACTAACACAGTAACATAATGAGGCTCCATACATGCAAAACGAAGCATTGAGAACTTTGTAAATGACAGTCACGACAAGTCAAACCACGAACGGCGTGCTGAGTGAGCTGAACTGTATGAAGTTCAGTGAACTTCTGAACTGTATGAACGGCGTTCGGGGATCGACTTATCGAGACTATTTTCTAAGATGGCTCCTGTCTGTATACGTGTAGAGAGTGTAGAAAGTCAAGAAAACAAAAAGAGATGCAAACAAAGACTATGAGCTACATAACAATGATTAGTCTTCTGTCGAGAAAGTACCCAAACTCTTCCTCATCTGTCCTATTAACTGCATAATATATTAAAGTGTCTTTGATGTATCCCTGGTTTACTACGGAAGTAAAATGGAAATCGAGAGTAAGGTGGAGATGATGTCATTGATAGGCGACGCAATGACACGGGGCGTTACACTGGTTGAAATTGCTGATTTCTCTGGATTAAAACATTGTTGGAAATGTTCAGGATAATGTAAGTACACAAGTCAAAAACTATAACATTTATTAGTGGTTTTTGGATATTTTCATCCTAAAATAGTCAAATCATCATTGCACGCAAAATAAAAAGGAAAATGATCCAAGTAAGAGAAACAGATCCTGTTGTTGATCCATGACTGCTTGTCCCTAGGAAAAAATGTATAAGAAATGTAAGATTCTGAATTTGTTATAAGGAAGGTAAAAAACTTTTCTTTTTTTTTACAAAAACTGACTTTAAATTGTGCTAATGTGAACACTACACTCTTGTTGAGTAAAGTTCTAAATTTGACAACAAAACTCCCAGATTACTCACCAACACTTATATTGTATAGCCCAACAATGACATCTGATTCTCCACTCGCTCTTGCTCTGTAGAGTCCACTGTCTGTCTCCTGCATGTTCTTCAGTGTTAGAGAGTAGTTTCCAGTATTGAAATCCACTCTCCCCTTGTAGGCAGGGTAAATCGTTTCTGATTTTTCTTTAACATTGTATGAGACTATACCACTTGAATTATTTTCCAATCCATATACCCAATCCAAATCATCAAACATTGTCTCATTAGCATGTTTTTGTACAGTCAGCTGAACAGAATGACCTTTCTGGACAGTTATTGCTGATGGTTGGATTATGTCACTGGATACTGTGGAGAGAAAAAAGCAAGTAGTCATAACACTCTACAGGAATATTCGACTCAAAGAGGACCTATTATGCTTTGTAAAATATTTTGGTGTTTTAGCGTGAAAGTTACTTATCAGTAAGCATTCCCTTACAGAATGAAACGTCTCGGTTACGGATGTACACTCGTTCTAGGAGGGAACAGAGACGTAGTTGGCGTGTCGACAGATTGGGATCCCAATTAAAACGCCACTGATCCCTTAGGGTGTACTCACTTTTGTTGTCAGCTATTTTGACAATGAAGGCTGTATGTGACGTTATTTTCAGAGGATGGTAAATGTTTACTGCTATACGAGCAGCGCATTGACAACTCTTCTTGAGAAGATATAGTTTTCTGAGATATGTATGGGCAATATATGTACACAGTAAAGGATAAAACTTTGTGAATATTATTTGTGAATGGTAATTTTGTATTAATTTATAAATATTTTACATTCATTAATATATAGCCATTATTGAAAAACATAAGCACTACGGAAATGTATTATTTAGTATATCGCATTAGGTTTTGCAGTATATTCCCATTTATTGCAGTATATTCCCATTTATTTTTTAGTACCCATCTGGTTGCACACTGAGGCTAAGCAGGGTAAGGTTGAGCCTGGTCGATACCGGGATGGGTACTAAACTATTTTCTGCAGCATTGTAATATTTACAGTAACTGCTTACTACAGTGAAACTCGTATAAAGAAGGCAAAACTAAGCACAGAAAACTATTTCATGCAAATGAAAGCCAGGCAATTACAGAGAACATAACAATAAGCAAAGCAAAGGGGTAAAAGTTACAGGATTCACAAATTGCTGTCTGTACACTTAAGTGGTTTAAATAACTGATTTTATGATTATTGTGGTGCAACTTGATGATCAGTAAACATTTTTAGACAGATGTTTTAGTGGTAATAAAAAGCCATGAAATCATGGTACATCAAATCTCCTTGCTTTCATATGTATTTTCAGGACCAAATAATAGAAATCCAAATAGTTTGTTCAGTAAAAGACAACAATGTTTCTAAAGTAGTAAAAAAACATCTAACTATTGCCTTCCTCTTTCTTCAATTTTATTTTAAAAATATAGTTATATCATTAAATATGAATTAGTAAGAATCTACTTTGGTACCTGTCCTGAAGATCAGAGGATTGATAAACATCACAACAAAGATCAGAGGTAGATGTGTTAATGCCATTTTTAATGAACACATCAAGCACGTTCACGCTCACACTTCTATCGACTCAGAAGGGAAGTGTATACAGGAAGTTGACTTTACCACTAAAACATTTTCAATAAGTGAGGATTAAACAGAATTTGCAGTAAAGATATATCAGCAGGTTGACACTAGCTTGAAAAATATTAGGTTCATATCATCCTCCCATATGCTGGTATAGTCTAGTAAACGATTTAAACGTCACAACCAAGTTTTAAAAAAAGGCTGACTCACCCTCAAGTTGTTTCAAACCTTTATGAATTTGAGACACCATATTATGAAGAAAGTTGGTAACCAGACAGTTGACTGCAGCCACTGACTTAATTATTTTATTATTATTATTTATTTTTTTATCTTTTGTGTTCAACAGAAGAAAGAAACTCATACAGGTTAATTTGTAAATGATGACAAAATTAGCTTTTTTTTTTGATTAACTATCTTTTAAGATGGATATTAACAAAGACATTTTAAAAATGTACAATTTATTTGTTTTGTTTTGAGTTCTAGTTCACTCGTTTGCTTTAGTGCTAAAAAAAAAATGGTTCCTTCCTTGTGGTATTGGAATAAACCTAAACGCTGTGGTTGATACAGCTTATACAACTCTAAAAAAAAAGTCCCCATGCTATTGCTATAATTGATGTCACATGTCACAGTTGTTACATGGTCATTCACTAGCTTCTTAAAAATGTTTCCATAAGATCATTTGTTGTAATTATTGTTTGAAAAGAATGATTGAATCAAGTTTTAAAAAAGTGTCACAAGTAGGCCTATTTAGATAATGATTTTACAGAAGTAAGCATGCGATTGTGAGTTTGTGACTACTAACGTTTCTGTAGAGCATGTGGGAAGTGATACATGAGGAAAGAGGGGGGTGGGGGATACCTCTCTGATGTATATATTTGCACCACAGTCACCTTAAAGGCACAGTATGCAAGAATTCAGTGGCGCAAAAAGTGGGTATGCGCTATATGCGGCGCATAGGGGCGCAGCACAATGGGGGGCGTCAAAGCGATGGTAAAAAAAAAATAATAATTATATGGCTATATTGTATTTCTATATGTAGCTGCCGTCGTGCGTTTCTAAATCATTTCTGCATTCCTTCAATGTTATATAAAATTTTAGAGGACTAACAGCTAGGCTAGAGTAGGCGCCCTGATGGAGAAGGGGGGCGGGTAATATCGCGAGCGGGCGGGGGCGCCGTGAGCGCTGAGCGAGCAGGTACGAGTAGTGAGTTGTCGTCGAAAAAGATGGATAAAACAAAATGCTGTGGGGCTAAAAATAGAAAAAAAAAGAGAGAAAAGGAGATGACATGTCAATTGATGCGACAGCAGCTAAATAACTGCATGCATTGCTGAAAGCCAACAGGTAGGATTTAAAATGTGACATCCAGGCATGTAGGCTATCTATATCTCGGTGGCCATCGGGACTACCGGGAGATTCCCGCTGGGCCGACGTGCTTTTCAGCCAATACATTTCATCCTTTTTTAATTTATTTGTCTTAGCGGCCCACAAAACTCATACATCGGCGGCCCATTTGTTTGTTGTTTGTTTTTGTTTTGTTTTTTGCTTAATTGGCGGCGCTGTGCTGGTGTAATGCATTGGTCAAAAAAAGTCAGCTTTAGTTTTTTTTCTGACACATGAAATATGTCATTATGCGCTTATATCTTTAAAGTATAGAAATTAGTGCAAAACTAATTATGAAAGTTTCCTTTATTTTTCTGTGCATTTGTTTTACAATAGGCTAAAATTGTTGCTGCATACCCCTCTGAAACTGGGTAGTTGCGCCCCTGCAAGAATTGTACCGTTATAACAGCTTCAAAGTTATTTCGGTGATAAACTCATAGTAGGGCGAATCATTCTACACTGTAAAAAAATATTTTCAAGATTTGTTATCACAATTTTTTTCTCTTGTCAAATCAACTTAAATAATTTATTTAGTTGAGAACTTATTATTTTGAGTTTCTGATGATTAAATTAATCTCCTTCATTGTATTAACTCACTTTTCCCAGTTCAATCAACTTAAAATTTTAAAATTTTACAGCGCCGCTGTAAAAACCAGCAATGCAAGTTTGAGAGGAGAGCCCCCGACAAATCTCACGAGAATCACAACATGCTTTATACGGTAATGACGTCACACACATCAACAACAACATATGAAGCAGAGAATATACACTGAAGAATATACACTGTAAAAATGATATGAACAATACCTTATAACAACATATGGGTTTACGTTGCTTTAACTCACCAAAATAAGTTAATTTTTAAGTAATTTTAATGTAATTTAAGTTGAAATGACTCAAACATCCAAGTGGATTGTACTTAAAAATGTAAGGCAGCAACTTTTTTGACAGTGTACATGAAAAACAAGTCTTTGCAATCTAGACCTACTTCTAATTTCTACATCTCATAATGAACATCTAGCAAGCTGGTTTAACTGTGGCACTGATCTTCGAACTGAGCAGAAACGGAGGTAATTTGGCGTCCATTCATAACTTCAATGTCGTGGATGAAACCTTTGATCCAGTTACTGGATCCCTTAATTAACACTTGCCCACTGCTCCAGTGATTTTGCATCGTTAATTCAGGCAGACAGGGAAGATTGGTGGTCCACACTGGAGTTTCCGGTGCAGCTGATTCGGAGTCAAACTAACGAACGGGTTTGTGGACCCCTCAACAGCATTCGAGTTTTCAAAATGGCCGCCAGGTGAATAAGGCGAACGTCAAGCCAACTTTATATAAAATCATTTGAATAGCCTAACATAAATTAATTAATAATGTGAACTAGACACTACGTTTACATAATAATGTGATTATTATTTCCAATAATCAAAGTAGGACTTAATCGCAGTATGATGTTTACATGACACAAACCTCTTCACTCCTACACGCAATTTTCATTATTCTGATTATTTACAAGAAATTGATTTTTAAAGCATTATTTATATAACCCAATTCACAGTATAACTAACGTTATGAACTCTCTGGCCACTGTTTTGATCTACTTTTGGGCGATGTACTGATGTTACTAACACGTGTATACTGGATTATATTAGTGTTACGCAACAATGTCAACATGAACTCAAGTTTCAGTTTCTTGACTTTTTATGGATAGCATATGTAGAATTTGTAAAGTAAATACTGTGTCTTCAAGATTAAGTTGTTGACATTTACAGTAATATGATCATAGCAGTAGAACTCTTATGGCTGCGGAAAATTAAGAACACAAAACAAGTGGCCAGCGACTGTGCAGTGATGTGATAGAATGTGCCAGAAGATCTTCAAGTGAAATGAGCTATTTGAATATCAAAATCACGCTTTGCTTGGCATCACATTCAAATGTAATTTAAACCTTATGTTGGCTAAAATATCCTCAAATAATAATTTATCCTTCATTTACTACTGCGTATGTGTAAAAGCATTTAATAGTGTAGGGAAAGATGCTGGGATTACATTTTCCAACATTTTGGAAAAAGTAGGAATGCAACATTAGAGTGTGATGATGCAAAGCCAAAAAAAGATGATATAAGTTGTGATTCAATCAGCGGGTGAGGGTTCTTTATGAATTTAACATTTGCACATTTTAACTTTGTCTCCACACTTTGATACCAAGTGATTTATTTCCATTTTTACCTCACCCAGGCTACATGTTTTGATTCATTTTGATGTCCAAGTATCGTAAAGACATAATGCATGTGTCACATAAACTGTGACTGAAGTGAAGCGCACGACAAAAATGTTTCCAACAAAATAGTCATTTTAATAAATCCAAAAAGAATACAGGAGATTGTAGTGGAAAAATAAATAAATAAATAATAATTTAACATTCCCGATACCGGACAAGGGACACAGAAACCAGTATAGGAAACTAATCAAGATCAGATAAACAGAACGACTAATTAATGAGTGACATACTGGGAAATCAGGCAGGCAAACAGGAACATAACCAACAGAAACTCAACAAAGGAGAACATGATCATGACGACATCCAAAACCAAAAAGTTTTTCATTGAAAAATAGTATTTGAATATGGAAAGTACTGTACTTTTGGTACTTGTGATCAAAAAAATCAGCATATCATTTTAATGCATTTGATTTGACCTGCTTGTGGGCAAATCCAAACAAACATTTTAAACTTTTGCTTTCAGAGAATATAATGCGTTATAGTGCAGATGAACCACCTCATTTCCTGTTTTAACAGGAGTAATATCATTTAATTAATTTTTTTTTATGTAATGTAAAAATGTAATTTGGTGCAATTAGGTGCTATTCACCTTTAATTTTTTTTTTTTTAATTGTTTACTTGCAGCTTCAGAAGTATTTCAGAATGTACCATTTTGCCTTAATTCATCTTTAAATGCCTTCAAATGCCAATGTTCGTCAAACCAACTGCAGCAAGGGGCCGGTTATTGCTGCTTGTTAGAAATTATTTCTGCTTATATGGAACCCCATGAAGTTTTATTTTCTTTTTCTTTTTTTTAACAGAACTGCTTTTGAAGATGTTAAAACTAATGCATATAATGACAATTAGTGTGTCACTAAAAGGCTTGTAGCCAGGCCTGATAGATTCACCCTCTTATTTTCTCTCTCTCTCTGGTAATATTTTACATGCTGGGTAAGATTATTTGTATAAGTTATCATCATCTCATACATCTATTTTGGAACTATTTTAAGTGTAACCATAAGACATATTTTGTCATTAAACCTTTTCAATTACAACTAAGATGCTATTTAGTTTTGATTTGGTATTGACTTCGAAGTGCTACATATTGCAATACAATACTTTAACTCTCTATAGCAAAGCTCTCCCTCCACATATTAAGCTATTGTAACTGCGCTGATTTCCGTCGTTGGTATAAGTGGCAGTGGGTGGAATAGACAAGAAATGTGCAGTTTTCTACCATCTTACTAATTACGTTTCTTCAGTCATTCAGCAGTCTTGCAGCGTGCAGCCTGAACCCCTGCAGGAAATCCACCCTTACAAGATGTAAATTCAGTCAATCTGTTGGATGAGATTTGTTCCTGGGCCCCAAGTGGGGAAAGTGTGGCGGTGTGCGACCCTGTAAAGCCTTGCACTCCTCAGCCCTTCTTGTTCGTCAGCACGGCAGCTGGGTGCGGTTCGAGGACCCGGTCATCCGCCTTGGATCCCTGGTCATCCTGTGGATTCAGGTAAGTGTCATGCATCACACTCAGACCTTGCTTCGGGTCCCTGTCCTCCCCTTTGCTGCCCCACCACAGGTACGTCTGCCATCAGACTCGGTTTCGCTTCAATTTGCTGGCTCCCGCCCTGACTCAGTGATTTTATTCATACCTAGAGCTAAGATGCTTCTAAAGCTAGTGATATTTATCACACCTACGTGTGGAGCATTGCTCCTGTCCTGTGTGCACATGTCGAAGGATGCAATGTAGCCTTTCCCTCCAGCCGATATGAAAATCGGTTTCTATTAACCCGTATTTCATTGTACCTTAGAGTGGTGGGTCATGGCCATCTTAGACGTGTCAACTGAAACGGGCCCTTTTTCGAAAGCCTCCGTTCAGCTGTTACACCAACACTATCTCACGACCAATTCGTACGAATTCGACGCATGATTAAAAAGTGGCTAATTCGTACTAATTCGTACGACCTCACTCGTACTAATTCGTACGATTTGTCTAAACCCACGTGATGGTTAGGTTTAGGGGCGGGGTAATGGTCGTGAGATCGGGTTGGTTACACAGATGCATTTCCAAATGCTCCGTCCCTTAAGTGGCCTGCAGCGTTCGACCTGAAGGACAGTACTGGACTAAAATGGTCTGGTCCACATTACAGCTTACTCTGTTCTTGAACTGAGAGAAACATGTGAAGCAACCAAAGGGTTAACCTGAAGTAATCAGTGCTGTGACATCACACTTGTAAATCTATGACCCTCCAGAGATGATTTAAGCGGTACGTCTCTGTGTAAACATTTCAAGGATTTACAACCACAACAACAACAACATTGGTAAGAAATTTTTACGATCATGTTAAAGCTGTAGAAAAAGTATACAATTGCCAAACACAAAGTAGGCTAAACTCTATAAACTTAATAGACAGTATGTTTTGTCTCCATGTGTTTCCAGATGTTTCAAATGAAATAAGAAAAGGGAGTTTGTGATGTAGAGTGACTTAAAAAAAATATTTTTGAACAAGGACATTTCCAGAGTACATTAATGCCCAAGATTTAAAATGTTAGTTTTCTCTTTATGTTACATACATTCTGTATATGTTAGAGAAAAGGGATTTTCCCGTAGCGTAACGCAATACTCGTTTCCTCAGAGAGAACCGAGGTTACGTCAGTAACCGAGTACGTTTTCTTTTTATGTTGGATACATTTGAAATGAACTGTGTATTGGTCTCCCCTAATCAATAATGCAAAGAATGATGATAATAATAGTATATTAATGATGATAATTTAAAGGGTTAGTACATCCAGAAATTAACATTTTGTCACCATTTACTCACCCTCATGTTGTTCCAAACCTGTATGAATTTCTTTCTTCTGCTGAACACAAAAGATGAATGTTGACGAATGTTGGTAATCAAGTTGATGTATTGTGTTTTGCAACGCTCTACAGTATTTTGAAAGTGATTGCAGTACCAGTTTTGGCTACAATCTTGCATACAGCTCCTTTAAATTTGTTGCAACACTTATTGGTCTTCCCTGATCCACAATTTCAATAATAATAATACTAGTAGTAAAAGTACGATAAGATGCTGAAACATCTTCAATGAAAATGAGCTGTTTGAATATGAAAATGACTAGCATCTCGACAACACAAATTTGCATCGATTTTTTTTGTGTTAGACCTACATGAGGCCAAAAGCAAAATATAGGGCAGACTAATGGCCTAATCTAACTCTGATGATCATTCTGAAGTGTAATTATAAATAGTGTAATTTGGTGCGTTCAGATGGGTCAAACTCTGGAGGTTACGTTTATTTTAGTTTATTATAGCATCTGTGCACTTTTTCAAAGACGTGATTTCACTAACCTGGACATCTTACATTTACATGTAGATTTATTCATTAGGCAGAGACTTTAATCCAAAGTGACCAACGAATGAGTAACATCACCAGCAAATTGTCATAAGAAACAACAGTATTCAAGTACAGCAGCTGTATTCCTGTAGCCCAAAAACTAGAGCATGTCTAATGTGCAGGTGCTGTTTTTTTTTTTTTGACACGTTTCCGTTTTGTTTTGTTTTTTCCTTTTCCCACAAGCCGGCGGACTAGTGAACTAATTGTGGCCACCGCCTACCTTTTTTTTTTTTTTCACCCCTTCATTTGATTATATAGTGTTTGTTCTACTCTAAAGTGGTGTGCCCATAGACGTCATATAGAGATAGACGCCCTATCGACCGCTACTGCCTATCGGCACAGACGAACCGTGGGGCCGCCATTTTAAAACGGTCTCCCGCTCTACTCAGTGTAATCTGTTTGGCAGGTGCAATGAGCTGTCAACGCATTTAATTAATCACTTCTCACTGAATACCGAACTGATTTTCACAGGTTTTTTTTTCTTTGTAATATAGAGTCCACTCTCTCCAGTCTTGTTCAAGGGGTGGCGTAGTTAGCACTGCCATAGGCTACTCACAAGGGGCTGCATATGCAGCAAGCTTAACACTGAGCTTAATGGAAGCGGTGTAAAACTGAAAAAACAAAAAACAATAACAGTAGAAAATATACATTAACTTACCAGACACTTAGATGAACATAAACCTCTTCTTATACACCGTTCTCAAATATATAGATATAATACAATGAATACATAACGATAGCATAGATAACATTACAATAGAGCTGCCAACTCTCACGCATTGACCGTGAGATTTACACCAATTGACCATTTTCACATGCGCCACACATCCATTTTTTCACACAGAATAAAATCGTGAAGCAAAGAGGACACTGACAGAGAAGGTTATGAACAAATTCCCAGCGCTCAGATTCAGTCAATTTTATTATGAAATTCTAACGTTTTGGCGCTTTTAAATGTGATAGATCGCTGTAGGGGTGCCCTCAGTTTACTTTATTAAGCATATTATCAAATTATACTTCCAAATGTCATACATTTGTGAGAAAATATCATATTATACACAGGGAGGAACTAACGTTAACTAGCATGAGCAGACATGAGACAAAAAAAATCAAAGGGAAAATAAACGGGTGTGCAAGCGGTTAAAAAAATGAATCTGTGAACCCCCCGCCCCCCCCCAAAAAAAATTAACGTTCAACATGTACGCGTTTGTAAACAATTAAATTGTCTCCTTGCTATATTCGACATTTTCAACTTCAACTTATTAAAATATCTGACTTTACTTTTTACTGCCTGTCATATTTATAGTGTGTGATTTGCAAAATACCTGTTATAGCCTACATCACATAGGGTGACCAGACGTCCTCGGTTTCAGGGGACAGTCCCCATTTTTGTTTGCCTGTCCCTGGCTAAATAAAGAAAAAAAAACTACCTCTGTCCCCATCTTGTTTTTGGAGACACATTAGGTTTTTCAATCAGATTGATAGTCAAACTGGAAATGTCCATGTTTTTTTTCCCCCCTTTTCAGGGATTATGTTCCCAGTTTTGATCTTGGACGTCTGGTCACTTAATATCATATGTCAGAATATTCTATTACTGTTAGGCCCTCTATAAATATAAAAATACATAGAACCATGTATCCTGTATCATAGCAACATATAAGATATTTGCAGCAAAAAAACAAAACAGCATGACAATCATTTTGGTATTCAGTGAGGTATGATTCATTAAACACCGACAGCTTATTGCCCCTGCCAAACCTGCTACACTGAGGTGTGGCCGGTCCAAGATGGCGGCCCCACGGCTCATCAGCGTCAATAGGCAGTAGCGATCCATAGGTCATCTTCTCTTTATTATATCTATGGTCTACATCTTATTACACCGAGAAAGTATCAGTTCCATCAAAGGTTTCACTCTACACTGCACACTACACTCATGACCACCTTATAATCCCCATCCACTGAATTGGCTCTATCACTCTCTCTCCTCTCTCCACCTGTTTTAAAAGCTTAATGTAATTGGTAGAATAATTAAAATTTATGCAGATATTGTTAAAAGAACAAATGGTTTGGTAAGTTCTTATGTTTAATTAAACATATTTGGAGTTCATTTCTTAATATTCACGATACACTTGCAATGTACTGTTTGTATATAAATGTTTGATTAATGTTTGATCATCTCTTATTAGCATCCAGCAGAGAGGATCTGTGTGTTCAGTCATGGACAGGAGTGTGTTTGTGCTGCTGTTGCTGTCAGGTTGGTGTGATCATCTGTAATCTGTATTTCTGATGATGATTACATATATTAACAGGGCTCTTGATATTAACAGGACTCTTCTGGAGCAGTTCTGCTCTTTCTCGTCAGTATCACTATATAAATGTGAGAATGTCGTGGCCAGAGGCTCAGAGTTACTGCAGAGAGAAGTACACTGACCTGGCTACTGTAGACACCATGGATGATGTGAACCGGCTGGTGAATATAGTGGATGCTGGATACAGTGGATCAGTGTGGATTGGACTGAAGAGAGGGACACAGACACGCTGGGCTTGGTCTAATGGAGAAAATATTCAGTACATTAACTGGAATTCAGGACAGCCAAATGAGAATGCAGATTGTGCATCTATTCTTTCCGGGTCCTGGTTTGATACAAATTGTAGCTCTGACCGATATTTTGTTTGCTACAAGGGTGAGTTCCCTGTTCTTTTAAATGTATTATTGAGGAGTTTAACTGGGAAAGAACAGCTATGAACTTATTCTTTTTTTGCATCTCTCAATAGAAAATAATGGATACACCTTGGAAAACACTGCTAAAACTTGGAGTGATGCTCAGAGCTACTGCAGACATTATCACACAGATCTGCCCACTATACACAGCTCTGAGGAAAATCAACAGATAACTCAGATTCTTTTATCTGAATATTACATCTGGATTGGTCTGTTCCAGGACTCTTGGGAATGGTCTGATAAATGGAGCCGCTTCTTTAGAAACTGGGCAGCAGGACAACCATCCCAGACTTCAGGATCTGGAGACTGTGTCGGCATGTCGACAACCAATTCTGGGAAATGGGCTCATGAAAGCTGTGATCTACAGCAACCTTTTATCTGCTATGGAGGTGAGTTTAACTCGCATGAATCAAACAAGAGATTTGTTGATCACTCTTGAAACTGAAATTACAACTCTGATATGTTTGCACTAGCCTAACTATTGTGTCTTTTATGTTTGTTAATCTGTATTTCTTTAGAGGAAAGGAGAAAGCAGATCGTCAGACTGACATTCTCCTGTAATGGAGAATGCACGTTGAATGATCCCTCACGTCAGACTGCCATTCTGAATCAGGTTTGTATCTGCTTTTCATGGTCATATTCTGGTGCAACAACACAATTTCCCAAGTATGTACTGGGTGAAACTACAAAAGGATGAACATCTCAATTTGCATTAAAGGAGAACTCCGGCGAACAATGAACCTTTGGTCTAATAAAACATCGGTACCCAGTCAACCGTTCTCTGAGATTTGTTTTCATGATAATCGAATGTAAAGAGTTTTATCTCTAAAAACTGTTTAGCGTATAATGCTAGTAATGGGGGCATTGACTAAGTGAAAAGAAATCGCTAGTTTATACCACTACCAAGGCTCAAAATAGCCCCACACTAACACAGTAACATAATGAGGCCCCATACATGCAAAACAAAGCATTGAGAACTTTGTAAGTGTTCTGACCGTTTAATAAGAAGATACTTTATGAAAACAGTTCACTTCGCGTATACAGACAGAAGCCATCTTAGAAAATAGTCTCGATAAGTCAAACCACGAACACCGTTCATACAGTTCAGAAGTTCGCTGAACTTCATACAGTTCAGATCACTCAGCACGACATTCGTGGTTTGACTTATCGAGACTATTTTCTAAGATGGCTCCTGTCTGTATACGCGAAGTGAACTGTCTTCATAAAGTATCTTCTTATTTACAAAGTTCTCAATGCTTCGTTTTGCATGTATGGAGCCTCATTATGTTACTGTGTTAGTGTGGGGCTATTTTGAGCCTTGTTAGTGGTATAAACTAGCGATTTCTTTTTACTTAGTCAATGCCCCCATTACTAGCATTATATGCTAAACAGTTTTTAGAGATAAAACTCTTTACATTCGATTATCATGAAAACAAATCTCAGAGAACGGTTGACTATGTTCCGATGTTTTATTAGACCAAAGGTTCATTGTTCGCCGGAGTTCTCCTTTAACTTGTTCCCAAACAGCCCCACTCTGTCATCATTTTGATTGCTGTTTTTGTTGTTATTAAGGGCAATAGATTATATTAAGTGTGACATGATATTTCATGTTTTATTTGATTCTTTCTTGCTGGTGTTCCAGATCAGTGATAAGCTGAAGATCTTGGGGCTGGAAAGTGACAGTGAAATAACCTGGAGGAAAGAGGAAGGCGAAGAGGTGTTTCATGAGGAGATCATCCATGTGGTGAATTCAAATAATGCGTGTAATAGCAATCACTAGTGCTCTTTTTAAAGTAAACTTAAACAAATAAAAAACCTTAACTACATTAATCAAGACTAACTTTATTTATAAGTAAGATTTTTTATGTTTTTAAATGAAGTCTCTTTTGCTCACCAAGGCTGCTTTATTTGATGAAAAAAATGACACAGTAATATTGTGAAATATTATGACAATACAAAATGACTGTTTTCTATTTTAATATATTTTAAAATGTAATTTGAAAGCTGAATTTTCAACATCATTAATGTTGCTGATTAGACATCAGTTTTCAGTGTCACATGATCCTTCAGAAATCATTCGCTGATTTTAGGCTCAAAAAACATAAATTATTATTTTCAATGTTGAAAACGGTCGTGTACCACCCCCCACCCCCACCCCCCCCAAAAAAAATTCTATGGTGAATAGAAGGTTCAAAAGATATAATCTTTTCTAACATTATAAATGTCTTTACTGTAACTTTTGATCAATTTAACTCATCCTTGATGAATAAAGGTATTTTCTATTTTCTTTCCCCCAAAATAAAAAAATAATTCTTACTGACCCCAAACTTTTGAATGTTAGTGATTAATGTTACAAAAGCTTTCCATTTCAGATCAATTCTGTTCTTTTGAACTTTCTATTCATCAAAGAATCCTGAAATAAAAATGTAAAAAACTGTTTTCAACATGGATAATAATCATAAATGTTTCTTGAGCATCATATTATAATAATTTCTGAAGACTGGAGTAATGATGCTGTAAATTCAGCTTTGATCACAGGAATAAATTACACTTCACTATATATTCACATTGAAAACCGCTGTTTTAAATTGTAATAATATTTCACAATATTACTGGGGTTTTTTTGTATTTTTTTAATCAAATACTTGCAGCCTTGGTAAGCAGAAGAGACTTCTTTTAAAAACATAAAAAATCTTATCGATCTAAAACTTTTGACCGGTAGTGTGTGTATATACAAACCCAATTCCATAAAAGTTGGGACACTGTACAAATTGTGAATAAAAACAGAATGCAATGATGTGGAAGTTTCAAATTTCAATATTATATTTAGAATACAACATAGATGACATATCAAATGTTGAAAGTGAGACATTTTGAATTGCCATGCCAAATATTGGCTCCTTTTGGATTTCATGAGAGCTACAAATTCCAAAAAAGTTGGGACAGGTAGCAATAAGAGGCCAGAAAAGTTAAATGTACATATAAGGAACAGCTGGAGGACCAATTTTCAACTTATTAGGTCAATTGGCAACATGATTGGGTATAAAAAGAGCCTCTCAGAGTGGCAGTGTCTCTCAGAAGTCAAGATGGGCAGAGGATCACCAATTCCCCCAATGCTGAGGCAAAAAATAGTGGAGCAATATCAGAAAGGAGTTTCTCAGAGAAAAATTGCAAAGAGTTTGAAGTTATCATCATCAACAGTGCATAATATCATCCAAAGATTCAGAGAATCTGGAACAATCTCTGTGCATAAGAGTCAAGGCCGGAAAACCATACTGAATGCCCGTGATCTTCGGGCCCTTAGACGGCACTGCATCACACACAGGAATGCTACTGTAATGAAAATCACAACATGGGCTCAAGAATACTTCCAGAAAACATTGTCAGTGAACACAATCCACCGTGCCATTCACCTTTGCCGGCTAAAACTCTATAGGTCAAAAAAGAAGCCATATCTAAACGGGAACCAGAAGCGCAGCCGTTTTCTCTGGGCCAAGGCTCATTTAAAGTGGACCCTAGCAAAGTGGAAAACTGTTCTGTGGTCAGACGAATCAAAATTTGAAGTTCTTTTTGGAAAACTGGGACGCCATGTCATCCGGACTAAAGAGGACAAGGACAACCCAAGTTGTTATCAGCGCTCAGTTCAGAAGCCTGCATCTCTGATGGTATGGGGTTGCATGAGTGCGTGTGGCATGGGCAGCTTACACATCTGGAAAGGCACCATCAATGCTGAAAGGTATATCTAAGTTCTAGAACAACATATGCTCCCATCCAGACATCGTCTCTTTCAGGGAAGACCTTGTATTTTCCAACAAGACAATGCCAAACCACATACTGCATCAATTACAACATCATGGCAGCGTAGAAGAAGGATCCGGGTACTGAAATGGCCAGCCTGCAGTCCAGATCTTTCACCCATAGAAAACATTTGGCGCATCATAAAGAGGAAGATGCAACAAAGAAGACCTAAGACAGTTGAGCAGCTAGAAGCCTTTATTAGACAAGAATGGGACAACATTCCTATTCCTAAACTTGAGCAACTTGTCTCCTCAGTCCCCAGACGTTTGCAGACTGTTATTAAAAGAAGAGGGGATGCCACACAGTGGTAAAAATGGCCTTGTCCCAACTTTTTTGAGATGTGTTGATGCCATGAAATTTAAAATCAACTTATGTTTCCCTTAAAATTATGCATTTTCTCAGTTTAAACATTTGATATGTCATCTATGTTGTATTCTAAATATAATATTGAAATTTGAAACTTCCACATCATTGCATTCTGTTTTTATTCACAATTTGTACAGTGTCCCAACTTTTATGGAATTGGGTTTGTGTATATATATATATATATATATATATATATATATAGGACTTTTCCTTTAAGTTAATTGAATGAATTTCCTTTAATTTCTTTATTAAGTCACCACTTAACTCTTTAGTTTTTAAATGTAATTATTTTTAGGAAGAGCTATGGGAATATTTTGTAAGGATAGCCTATATGTAAATATGACTATCGAACTATACTGTATGTGTATGACCTTATTTCATGTGTAAAATAATAAATACAACTGGAATCATACTGTGCATATTATTCTCCTTTTCATATGATAACAGTAACAAAAAAAAAACAGTACGCTTTACTTAAAATTGTGATAAATTTGATATAATAATTTAAAGAAGCTAGTTCACCTAAACTTTAAAATGTTGGGAAAAAAAAAAAATCGAAATGTTGTTGTGTTGCAGATATGGATGTGTTAATGTCAACGTTGTATTTTAATTATTTGAAGTTGGGGAACTCTTATTAAATGTTCAAGTTTAACATGGGAGGGGGACTGGGAGAAGGGGAGCAGAAGATTATCTCGCTGACGGACCGGTTCGAGTGTAGTTCTCTGAATAAGTCCAGGTGTGTACGGCGTGGGCTGTGGCCGATAACACCCTTAGTCAACGCCTCATCCTCGTCTTGAGAACGCTAGTTTTTAAAAATGTGGTCTATCAATTCTCAAAAGCCATGAATCGATCTTTTTTCAGTGTTTATTTCCGCAAACATTGAACATAATATCTGATTAACATTCTTAGTCTTCTCCACTAAGTTTCATCCTTAAAATGTAAAGAAAGTAAAGGAAAAATGCAGAAGGCTTTATATTAAAGAAGTTGAAAAATTGGCTAACATCTGGGGTTCTATAGGCCTAAATAAAACTCATTTAATATGTTTCTCAAGAAAAAAAAAGACCAAAAATATATCGTTTGTACAAACAGGTTTTAGGACAAGCTTCTTCCGCATCACCATTGCAGAAAACAAAGTTGAAAGCACACAATCACACGCAGGCTTTAAGAATTTGCTGTGGGGCTTTCAGAACATCACCAGTTACTGTAGCGCTGTTACAGAAACGGGAGAAATTCCTTTGGTTTCCGATGGAATGCTAATAATGAGGCACAAAGAATGGGAATTTTATGAAATTAGTCCAACAGTGGCAATACAATTTATACCTCAATGGTTATTCCAAATGTCAAAGGCAAAAGAACAGTGGGTGGAAGAGGTTATTATCAGCCATACGGCCAATTTAATTTTTATTTTATTTATTTTTTTACCTTTATTTTACCAGGTAGGCCGATTGAGAACAAATTCTCATTTACAATGGCGACCTGGCCAAGATAAGGTGAAAAAAAGTGCAAGACAACAATGAGTTACACAATAAATACACGAGGCACAGGAGACAAATTTACAAAATACAGTGAAACACAATAAGACAATACAGGGTCAAGAAAAGGTACATGTAATTCTATTGGGTAACCAAAATTAAACACACAAATATTTTTATGATAACTCATCTCTGACAGTAGTGCAAAAGATGAAAAGGTTCAAAAACAATTAACAGGTACATATATCAGTTGTTGTTTAAAGGCAACAGGTGATATAAGTGCTTCAAGTTTCAAATAATGAGTGTGATAGACTGTAATTAATTATCAATATGCTTTCTTAAAGTAATTCATATAAAATCAAGTAAAAGTCTATATTTTTAAGAGGAAATGGGAAGTCATAGTAGTAGTATGTATATTTAAATGTCAAGTAAGAACATGTTAAATATTACATTTATTGGAATTGATTGTGAATTAATTTACTAATAACTAAATCAGTTAAATGTAACAAATTACATTTTTGCAGGATTAAACGTTTTTTCTTTGCTAAATTTAGCTCTGGTTTATTAATGTAAATGCATTTTAGAATCAAATCCACAAATATGTTTGTAAAATTGACATTAATGGTAAACTTCAGTATAAAAACATTCTAGAGGACTGTATTAGAGTACTCAAGACCGGTTGAGAAAACTAGGTTGCTGCGGGAAGAGGTGTTAGTGCGGCCAGCAGGGGGTGCTGCTCACCCTATGTGGGTCCTAACATCCCAGTATAGAGATGGGGACAAAGAGACTGTCAAAGAGAACCGTCCTTTAAATGAGATGTTAAACCGAGGTCTTTACTCTCTGTGGTCATAAAAAAATCCAATGTCATTTCTCGTAAAGAGTAGGGGTGTAACCCCTGTGTCCTGGTCAAATTTGGCCTCCTAATAATCCCCATCTATTGAATTGGCTCTATCACTCTCTCTCATCTCTCCACCTGCTCTGTTGTGTGGTGAGCGCACTCATAACCTCGTCAGACAAACCATGATACGCTCAACCCCTGCCCCTTTTGCCTCAAAATGTATTGTGCCCTTTTCTGATAATTGTATACAATAATAATTATTATTATAAATATTATAATAAATAATAATAAACTTACACACCCTTTGTTGTAGAGTGAGTTTTTGTCAATTAACCTCTAGGGGGCAATCTAATGTTTTTTGGCTTTGTGCTTAAGAGTAGCAAAGAAGAAACCGTTAGCTGACATGTGTTCCACCTGGACTGTTCTCAAGTGTACTGCTGGCTTGATGTTCGTTGAGTAAATAAACTGCATTGAACGGATTTCAATTACATTTTGGCGAAGAGGATGAAAGCAAGGAAAGAAACGCCTTGAAGAGGGAAAAAAAGTGTTGGAAGGTGAATAAGTTTATTCCATACAAGCTGGAGCTTGGGAAAAGAAGATGGCCAACATGGTAGGAACAGTCTCACCTTTTGATAGTCAATCTCAGTCTTGTGAGATCTTGCAGCATTTCTTCGAGGCAAATGAAATCACAGAATTCGCAGACAAGCAAAGAGCTATATTGTTGAGCACTGTAGGAAGTCAAACGTACAATTTACTGAGACATTTGGTGAATTAGTAGAATTGCTTAAAGAGCACTTCAACCCAAAACCTAGTGAAATTGTGCAACGGTTTAAATTCAATTCAAGGTCAAGAGAAGAGGGGCAAACTGTACTTGAATATGTAGCAGTATTGATGAAATTAACTATGGAGAAAAGTTGACAGAAATGCTTTGGGATAGACTGGTATGTGGCATAAATGATGACCGGATTCAGCGTAGACTGTTGGCAGAAGCGGATCTAACGCTTGAAAAGGCTTTGAAAGTGCAAAAAAAAAGTGCATCTGATGAAGAGGGTATTTTTACAGCTCACAGTTTCAAAGAAACCAAGATTCCTGATGCCTTGTTCACACTACATGATTTTAAAACGTCGGGCTGAACTGTGCGGTTCACACTACATGACTTGCTCTCAGTGAAATCTGGAGTGTTCAAGTTGTTAACTGTTCACACAACACAACACAACGTGATTGATCCACAACAGGAGGTAACTCACTACACGAGTTGACAACGCACTACATAGAGATACAAGCACGATCGGATGATAAGAGCATATCATTTGTGACTCAATGAGAGCTGTTTCAGTACTATGTTACGGTCTAAATCAAATAAATAACAAGTTGACAACAACTCTGTCACCCAACGATTCTATCTTGTCAACAAACCACGTTTTGTCACGAAAAAAACACGCAATAAATAAATAAATATTGCGCCAATACCCAGCGAAGAAGAGAACACAACACGTGAATATGGACGTCAGACAGAAACTAGTGCTGCACACTGTTTGCTCGACGATCTGCTCTGAAAAAAAAATGCAAAAAAAGAAAAACTAAGATTTACCTGGTGTCCTCAACCCATGCGTTGCTATGATTGGCTGTACTCATGACATCACTGAGTTTGAGTCGCGCGACGGCTCTGGATATCTAGCAGGCTAGATTGTTTTCTGGGCTCGGCGACGCGTCTGCGAGCGTTTTCGCTGCGTTGTTGGCTCTTTCATACTAACAGATTGGCAAGCGTTCAGCGTCCGCTAATCTCCCGCGATTTGCACCCGATAACACCCTGACCTGTCGGCGACTCAACGATTTGCAAATCGGGCTTAAAATCATGTAGTGTGAACTTGGCTTAAGGTTACTCCACTGACTATTACGTTGGCGGTTAACGAGTCAAGCATACCTTTTGAAGTGGATACCGGTTGTGGTGTGACTGTGATGAATGGGTCCAATTTTTCCAAATTATGGACAAAACATAAAATTCCAGAATTAAAGACCTGTTCTTTGAAGTTGAAAACCTATACTGGCCAAACCTAAGCAGGTGGAAGTTAGACACAAAGGAGTCATGAAGGAGTTACGAGTAGTGGTGGTACCTGGAACAGGACCCAATCTATTGGGTAGAGGATGGATTAAAGAATTGGGCATGGAATGGGAGGCCATACATAAGATTCAAGGGATGGAAAATATAACCTTGCCTGAAGTGCTTAGCCAACATTCAGAGTTGTTTAAAGAGGAATGGGGTGACTTGAGAGGTCCACCGGCCAAGATTTATGTGGACAAGGACGCGGTCCCCAGATTTTTCAAAGCCAGACCCGTTCCTTATGTTGACAAAGGTAGAAGCTGAAATAGAACGCCTGTTAAGAGAAAAAATCATAGAACCGGTTAAACACTCTGAATGGGCTGCCCCTGTAGTGCCGGTTTTAAAATAGGATAACACTGTGCGACTATGTGGTGATTATAAGCTAACTGTGAATAGAGTTTCAAAGTTGGAACAATATCCCATCCCTCGAATAGACGGTTTGTTTGCAACATTGTCAGGTGGGCAAAAGTTTACCAACCTGGATATGAGCCATGCATACCACCAGATTGCTTTAGATGCGGAGTCCAAGAAATATGTCACAGTGAATACTGAATAACCACAAGGGCCTGTTTGCTTACCATGTTTTACCCTTTGGAGTTTCTTCTAGTCCTGCCATCTTCCAGAGGACTTGAGGGTGTACTGCTGCAAGGTCTTCCGTATGTGGCGGTTTTCCTGGACGACATCCTGGTGACTGGTCGTACTGATGAGGAGCATCTCCAAATGCTCGCAAGGGTATTGGAAAGATTGCAGGAAGCAGGACTGCGGTTGAAACGGAGCAAATGTTCCTTCATGGAGAAAGAGGTAACATTTTTGGGCCACAAAGTAGATGAGACTGGCCTCCATCCAGTACCCGACTGTGACTCCCATTCAGAATGCTCCTTGGTTCATTTGTGTAGGTTGCATAGTATTTATTTTACAGTCATTATGTTCCTGTGCATATTACGTGAATTTTACAGGTCTTGAAATCCCGCCCTCTGTGTCTGGAGCACCAGCTTATTTGCATTTAAAGGGCCAGGCACAAAACTGTACATTTTTGCTAATCCTCAAAAAGTGACAACCAAATTCAGAACAACATGTAGGCTGATATTGTCATACCACGATCATCAGTCATACTTTAACATGCTATATAAAAATATATTTTGTGTTTAAATTATTGAAATCTGGCAACCGTAAGCATGAACGTGTTGTCTACACGTTTCGACAAAAATAAGTGGTTTTGGTCAAGTTTTTATTTTTTTTAAACACATTTTAGTCTCGTCTTTTTTGTCAACATGTTGATATAGTCACAGTTATCGCTTAATGGCATGGGGGGGGGGGGGGTTATAGCTCAAATAATCAGTGCTGACATCAAACTTGTAAATCTATGACCCTCCAGAGGTGACTTAAGCAGTTGTGTGTATGTCTCTGTGTAATAATTTTAAGAATTTACAACAAAAATTTGGTAAGAAAAAAAAATGTACGCTTGACCACAATTTACGATCATGTTAAAGCTGTAGGGAAAAAAAAGTTAGCATATAGAAGTTGTCACATAATACAACACACAGTAGGCTAAACTCTATAAACCAAATAGATAGCATTTTTGTCTCCGTGTGTTTCCAGATTGCTGTTGTCTATTATGTTTACCATTGTGAATTAAAAATGTTTAAAATTAAATAAGAAAAGGAGGTTGGTGATGTAGAGTGGTTTAAAAAATATTTTGAACAAAAAAAAAAAGAAAAAGATTTCCAGAGTACATTAATGCCCAAGATTTAATATGTTAGTTTTCTCTTTATGTTAGATACATTTGAAATGAACACGTATTGGGCTCCCCTAATCAACTATGTAAATAATGATTAGCCTATATGATGATCATTTAAAGGGCTAGTTCATCCAGAAATTCAACTTTTGTTACCATTTACTCACCCTCAAGTTGTTCTAAACATGTTTGAATTTCTTTCTTCTGCTGAACACAAAAGAAGATATTTTGAAGAATGTTGGTAATCAAAAAGTCGATGTATTGTTTTTGTGTTTTTTTCCTATTATGGCAGTCAGTGGGTGCCGTCAACTGTCTGGTTACCAACATTCTTTATATGTTGTGGTATTGCCCCTTTTTACATAAACTAAGTCTCTGATGGCCCCAGATTATGTATGTACACTTTAGCTCAAAATACCCAAACATATAATTTTTTACAGCCCCTTACGAAAAAGAAGTTTATTCAAGTGTGCCATTAGTGTACTTCTTTTAAACTAAAAATAAGAAAGTATACTTTCAGTTTATTTTTCCTGTACTTCTCAGAAGTATACTATATGTACTTCTCAGAAATATACTTCAAATTACACTTAAGTGTACTTGACTTATACTGAGAGAAAAGCAAGTATATTTGTCCTGTTCTTGTACTCAATCTTTTGATCCAGAAATACTTAAAAGTATAATTAAGTATTCAAAGTATACTTGTATAAGTATTACAGTAAAAAAGTAAACTACTAGTATACCCATAAATTCACTTGCAGTACACATGAGATACATAATTATGAACTAGTTGTGCACTTACTGTTACACTTATAGTACACTTAAACATATACTTTTATGCACTAAAAGTGGGCCAATTTAGTCCCAAGCGGTATTAAAATAGTATACTTACAAGTTTACTACTAGTACATAGTGACATTAGTATACTTACTACATAAAGTATACTTAAAAATATACTTGAACATTACTTAAGTATACTACATAAAATTAACTTGAAATATACTTCTTTTTCGTAAGGGGCATGTTAAAATCGTCCCTTTTTTAGGCTGGGGGTTTGTTAGAATAAATAGCTAAAGGTCTGGTCCACATTCATTCATTAATGGAGCGAAACATCAATGAAGGGTGGCTCCCGGCTGATGACCCTGCAGCTACCCGAAATGGCACCGTCGGAGGTGCGGCAAGCAGAAATGCTCAGCAGGCAGTCATTTGCCTGTGCTACCTATGGGCAGGGTTAACCTGAAATAACCAGTGCTGCGACATCACACTCGTACGTGTGTATGTCTATGACCCTCCGGGGGTCATTTTAGCAGTTTTATGCATAAAGATATAAAGGATTTACAAAAACAAAATTTGAGGTAAGCAATTACAATTTTATGTTTGATCTATGAGAGCTATAAACATTTAACGTTTAACTTGTTGAGGAAGCTCAAAAATTCAAGTTATCACTTAAATGCAACTTCACATTTCAAGTAGACTTAAACTTTTACAAATGAACAGTTAAATAAACTTATTTGTAAAGTTTAGTGTGTCAAAACACACTATCTTTTAAATTTATATAGTTTAGTCTACTCTATGTTTTGTGTTTTTTCCAATTTGCTGTTGACTCATTGTGAATTAAAACGTTTAAAGTGAAATAAGAATAGTTGGCGGTAATTGATGATGGAAAATGGCTCAAAAGTTTTTTTGATTTAATTTCATTTCCAGTGAACATTCATGCCCAAGGTCTAAAATATTAATGTTTTTATTTTGTTACATACATGTGAAATTAAATGTGTTGCAACACATATTGGTCTTCCCTGATCTACAATTTAAATAATAATAATAATAATAGTAAAATAATAATAATTTAATAGCATAACATATAAGAAAAGGAAACATTTACATAGCCTATGTTAGAATTTTGTGTTAATCCGCAGTGTCAAGATTTTTTGCATATGTATACAATATTTTTAGCACATGATGGAATGTTTTGTCCATCAATAGGATTCTGTAACATCTTCAATGAAAATGAGCTATTTGAATGTGAAAATGACTAGCATCTCCACACCACAAAAATTTGCATCTATTTTTGCAGTTAGACCTACATAAGGCCAAAAGCAATATATAGTGCAGACTAAATGGCCTAATCTAACTCTGACTATCATTCTGAAGTGTAATTATAAATAGTGTAATTTGGTGCGTTCCGGTGGATCAAACTCTGGAGGTTACGTTTATTTTAGTTCCAGGCTAATATGTAGTGATCTGTGACATACTTGTGTCTCAGGCATCTGTGCACTTTTTCAAAGACTTGATGTCACAAAACTTGACAACTTACATTTACATGTGGATTTATTAATTCATTAGGCAGACACTTTAATCCAAAGTGACCAACGAATGAGTAACATCACCAGCAAATTGTCATAAGAAACGACAGTATTCAAGTACAGCAACTGTATTCCTGTAAGTCGATCCCCGAACGCCGCTCATACAGTTTTAGAAGTTCGCTGAACTTAATACAGTTCAGATCACTCAGTATGGCGTTCGGGGATCGACTTATCGAGACTATTTTCTAAGATGGCTCCTGTCTGTATACGCTAAGTGAACTGTTTTCATAAAGTATCTTCTTATTAAACGGTCTGAACACTTACAAAGTTCTCAATGCTTCGTTTTGCATGTATGGGGCCTCATTATGTTACTGTGTTAGTGTGGGGCTATTTTGAGCCTTGTTAGTGGTATAAACTAGCGATTTCTTTTTACTTAGTCAATGCCCCCATTACTAGCATTATATGCTAAACAGTTTTTAGAGATAAAACTCTTTACATTCGATTATCATGAAAACAAATCTCAGAGAACGGTTGACTATGTTCCGATGTTTTATTAGACCAAAGGTTCATTGTTCGCCGGAGTTCTCCTTTAACCCTTAAAAACAATACCTTTTCAAGAGTAAAGTATGGTTGGAGCAACTTGGAGGTAGATATCATAGTGTGCTCTCGCAACTGCCTCACAACAAAATGACTAACAAATTCAGCATTTTGCACACAAACTCGATCTGCTTTGCAAAGGAAAACTCGACTCGCAAACAAACAGAAAGAATGCGTATATATATATATATATCCATATAACACGCACAGAGTTTTGTTCGGTTGTGGGTGGGTTAGGGTCTGAGGTAGATTTGATTTAGATTTTTGATTTACTTTAATGACCACACAGCCAGGCTGGTGGAATTTGTTTTCAGTACAGCTCATTTCTTGGGTGCAGGTTCCAGAAAATACATTAACAATGAACATTAAACATATAGAATACAATACCATACATATACATACAGACAAAACACAGGCAAAAAGGGTAACGGGTCACGCTTAATCCAGTCCTCAGCGTTCAGAGTTCAGAATGTTGATTGCTTTCGGAAAGAAGCTGTTTTTAAAACGAGTTGTCTTAGCAGCGATCGTCCTATAACGCCTCCCAGAGGGCAGTAACTGGAAGAGGTTGTGTGCAGGGTGAGAGGTATCAGCAGTTATCTTGTGAGCTCTACGTAATGTCCGTTTGTGGTAGAGTGCTTCGATGGATTTCAGTGATGATGAACCGATGACTTTAGATGCTCTGTTGATGACACGCTGTAGTTTCTTCCGAGAAAGTGAATCAAGACTGCCAAACCAGACTGTGATGGATGTGGTGATGATGCTTTCGACGATGGCCATGTAGAAGCGAAGCAGAAGATGAGACCTTACTCTGAACTTCTTGAGCTGTCGGAGATGAAAAAGTCTTTGCTGGGCTTTATTGTAGATATGATCTGTGTTGATTTTCCATTTAAGGTTATTGCTAATGTGGATTCCAAGAAGTTTGAATTGATCAGTGATGGAAATGGGTTCACCTTCAATGAGCACAGGAGTTTTGGGGATGGTTGACGTCTCAGATCGACGATGAGTTCTTTTTGTTTTGATGTGTTGAGTAGAAGATCATGGTCTGTACACCAGGTCACTGCTTGATTGATCTGTGCACGATATACAGTTTCTTGGTTGTTGGTAATGAGTCCTATAATGGTTGTATCATCCGCATATTTGTATAGGCTGACAGAACCGTGGTGTGATGTGAGCTGATTTGTGTAGAGTGAAAAAAGCCAGGGTGAGAGAACACAGCCTTGCGGTGCACCTGTACTGAGGAACAGAGGGGAGGATGTATTGTTATTCATCCTTACCCTCTGTTTCCTGTTCCAGAGAAAACTGTGAATCCAGTGGCAAATGCATGGATTGATGTTCATGTCCAGTAGTATATTGACCAGTTTGACGGGGTTTATTGTATTTAGGGATGGGACGATAACCGGTTTAACTATAAACCGTGATAAAATTTACTGACGGTTAGTATTATCGTCTAAAATTTAATTATCATTAAAACCGTGTTTGATTATCGCGATTTTAATAACTCACTGAATCCTGTCGGCCAGTCTGACGCAGGCGCGCAGCACGCAATATTTTTTTTAAATTACTATTCGAGAAGGAATGGCGGAAGGCAGTGACCAAGCTCAGGAGGTTTTTCAGCCTTTTAAGAGGACCAAATCTGAGGTGTGGTCATATTTTGGGTTTTACAAAAGTCCTGAGGGAAACTTGATCGAGGATGGTCACCTTGTCTGCCGAACAAAAAGTCACTACAATAGAAACACTTCAAATCTGCCGAGTCGTCTTGTGTGATGATCACCCGAACGCAAGGCAAGTTAACTTTGACCTCAATACCAAAACTACGTCTGGGAAACAATTGGGCACGAAATGTTGTTTTGAGTTGAAACATTTTATGTCACTCACTTGAAATAGACGTCAAGCTTCCGCGAAGAAAAGTTCGTAGCAAGTGGCTTTGAGCCAAAGACGAACGAACAACTTCAAACAAGACTATTATTAAGAGTGATATAAGGGATAGTAAAGTATAGATACATCACGTATTAAACCGATTTTATTTTTACCACATAATTACGGGGACATATTGAATTGATAATGAGATTAGCTAATGTTTTAAATCTTACCTGTTTATGAATTCATTTTGTAAAACAATCGTCCAGACAAGATATATCACACCAATATTATCAAACTATGTAAAAAATAAATCAACTCTGATTTCATTTTTGCAATACAATCAAAAACCGGAGACGCAAGACGGCAAGTTGTATTTGAATGAAACAAGAGCGCGCGTCCGTTGTGAATGTTATGGATGTGCGCTGTGTAATAATGCGTTGCTATTGACGACGGGCATTATAAAGAAGCAAATGCCATAGAATAGAATCTTGCTTAAAAAAACTGCATAGAGAGACTTGTTTTATTTGTTTTTTGTTGATTTTCAATTATAAAATGAAATGAAATGTTTTCAGTGTGAGCATCAGTTCTTTTTGAGCACTTTCATAAATTTTTAACAAAAACCGTGATAATATTGATAATCACGATTATTTTGGACACTATAATCGTGATATGAAATTTTCATACCGTCCCATCCCTAATTGTATTGAATGCAGAACTGAAATCCATGAACAGGATGCGGGCATATGTATTTGCGGACTCAAGGTGATTCAGTATTTGGTGTATTGCTAAGTTGACGGTGTCCTCAACTGACCTGTTGGCTCTATAAGCAAATTGTAATGGGTCCATGAGTGGGGTGGTGACAGTTTTTAGGTGATTGAGTAAGATGCGCTCGAATGATTTCATGACTGCTGATGTCAGGGCAATAGGCCTGTAATCATTGAGGCAGGAGATGGTCTTGGCTTTGGGAACCGGGATGATGATAGATTCTTTGAAGCACTCGGGTACTGAGTTTTGACTGAGGGAGGTATTGAAAATATCGGTAAAGACCCCAGCCAGTTCTGCAGCGCAGTGGTGGAGAACGGTGGGGCTGATGTTATCTGGGCCGGGGGCTTTATTCCTCTTAAGTCCCCTAAAGATGCTTCTAACCTCCTCCTCATAGATGGTAAAAGGGGGGAAAGGGAGGGGGTCGGGGGGAGACGGTGGAGTAGCCGGTGCCTGATCAAACCTCCCATAAAAAAGGTTGAGTGTGTCAGAAAGCTGCTTATTGCCGTCAGGTGTAGGAGTGGGTTTCTTTTTGTAATTTGTCATGTTTTGGAGTTTTTTCCAGATAAAACGTGTATCATTCGTAGTGATTTGTTCTTCTAGTTTAGTAGCATAGTTGGATTTAGCTCTTCTTATTGCAGATCTCAATTTGTATTTGGCAGCCATATATTGTTCTTTATTTCCTGATAGATGAGCTTCATTTTTCTCCTTTCTCAACTGTTTAATGTCTTTGTTATACCACGGTTTATTATTATTATATTGTTTGATTTTTTTGAGTGGAATACACAAGTCCACGCAGTAATTGACGTATGACGTTGTTACGTCGGTGACGTCATGGAGATCGCCTGCAGCACGGAAAACTTCCCAATCCGTGCACGCGAAACAACCGCAAAGTTTTTCAATGGCCTCAGGGGACCAGCACCGGACGAGTTTAGTTGGAGACTTGGAGGATTTAACTTTTTGTCTGTATTGTGGAATTAAAAGCAACACTGCGTGATCGGACCGACCCAGCGGAGCCCTCGGGAAGACACGGTAAGCCTCTTTGATGGTAGTGTAGCAGTGGTCCAGCGTGTTGGTTCCTCTGCTAGGACAGGCTACCTGCTGGTGGTAGCGGGGGAGCTCAGATGACAAATTTGTCTGGTTAAAGTCCCCGAGGACAATGACTGCTGCATCCAGGTAGGGTTAGGGTTAGACCACTAGGAGGCGCCTTCTGGCCTGCGTCTCATACTGACACTAAAGGGTGCCATGTCCCGATTAACTGATCCAAATATTCATAATCAATTATAACAAGTTATGATTGATTATTAATTTTTCAATTTTTCATATACAGTATGTGCATTTCGCACCTAGGCCTTCTGTCCTACCTGAATTAATAACTTTTAATAGTGTATCAGCGCAAAGACTCTCTATAATTCTTGTTTTTATTTTGAGTTCGGGAAAGGCCGGTGGCGTTAGAGCGAAACGAGCGCGTGGCTAGCTAGGCTATGTTTAGGCCTACTGCACCGGTGTTCACCCAACTATGAACTGAGGCTTGATCAAATATAAATGAAATAAAACAAATTACTGGTATAACATTGGCTGGCGAATTTTACACAATTGGCACAGACTGTATTATCAGTGTTGGGCTTAACTTAGTATTTTGGTGGTAGCTTCACTATTTCCTGTGTGTGTGTGTGTGTGTGTGTGTGTGTGTGTGTGTGTGTGTGTGTGTGTGTGTGTGACAGAGAGAGACTAATATAAATAAGTATACTCTAATATAATATAATCATAGTGTTTCTTCAACTTATTAAAATATCTGACTTTACTGACACCAGCTCTTTCTGCATCTCTATATGAAGAGTTCAGATGCAAAAGCCTCTAAGTGCCATTTTAAATTTTCTTCTAAAATTATCATTTTTATCAAGCTTGTATATTTAAGTTCAGTGATATCACTTAAATGGCAATGATAATTACCTATTAATTGTTATTTAAGTAAAATTACTGAACTTAAATATACAAGTTTCATAAAAATCATCATTAAAGAATTAAATTTCAAATGGCATTTAGAGGCTTTTGCATCTGAACTCTTCATATTCATATTGTGTCTGATTTGCAAAATACTTATCCTACATCACATAAGTCCCTGTTTTTGGTTGCCTGTCCCTGGCTAAATACAGAAGAAAAAAAACTCCCTCTGTCCCCATCTTGTTTTTGAAGACAACATTAGGTTTTTAATCAGATTGATAGTCAAACTGTAAATAATATCCATGATTTTTTTTCGCCTATTCGGGGATTATTCCCAGTTTTGATCTTGGACGTCTGGTTACTTTATATCATATATCAGAAAATTCTATTACTTTTAGGCCCACTATAAATATTAAAATACGCCGAACCACGTGTCCTGTATCATAGCAACATGTATGACCTTTGCAGCTAAAAAACCCAGCGTGAAAATCAGTTCGGTTTTCAGTTTGGTATGATTAATTAAATACGCAGATTACAGATTATAGATTACACTGAGTGGAGCGGGTGACCCCATGGCTCATCAGTGTTAATAGGCAGAAGTGGTTTATAGGGCATCTACTCTCTATTATGTCTATGGTCTTACTACACTGAGAAAGTATCAGTTCCAGCAAAGGTTTCACTCTACACTACACACTACACTCATGACCACCTTATAATCGCCATCCACTGAATTGGCTCTATCACTCTCTCTCCACCTGTTTGCTGGTGTGTGATGAGCGCAGTGGTGCTGTTGTACTGTGTCTGCAGTCACATCATCCAGGTTGATGCGGCACAGTGGTGGAGGCTGAGAAGAGATCCTGACATGTTTGTAAAGCGCTTTGCATGTACAGTAGTACATACTGTATATAGTAGCACTAAATAAATGCCTAATTCATTCTACTGTCTTTTGAAAACTGTATGGACCAGTTTTATACTATGCAGATTTGTTAAAATAGTACCATTTAAAAACTTATTGTAAATGTAATTGTAATTACTTAATGTCATTGGTACAATAATTACAATTTAGACAATAAAATGCAAAAAAAAACTTGTTAAAAGAACAAAGGGTTTGGTAAATTCTGATGTTTAATTAAACGTATTTGGAGTGCATTTCTTTGCACATTTGCAATGTAGGCTACTGTTTGTATTCACTCCTTACAGAACTCAGATATAAATTTTTGATTAATGTTTGATCATCTCTTATTAGAATCCAGCAGAGAGGATCAGTGTGTTCAGTCATGGACAGGAGTGTGTTTGTGCTGCTGCTGCTGTCAGGTTGGTGTGATCATCTGTAATCTGTATTTCTGATGATGATTACATATATAGATGGTTTATCATGTTGATTTTAACAGGACTCTTCTGGAGCAGTTCTGCTCTTTCTCGTCAGTATCACTATATAAATGTGAGAATGTCGTGGCCAGAGGCTCAGAGTTACTGCAGAGAGAAGTACACTGACCTGGCTACTGTAGACACCATGGATGATGTGAACCGGCTGGTGAATATAGTGGATGCTGGATACAGTGGATCAGTGTGGATTGGACTGAAGAGAGGGACACAGACACGCTGGGCTTGGTCTAATGGAGAAAACAAATCTTCTCTGTACTCTAACTGGGCTTCAGGAGAGCCAAATCAGAATGAAGATTGTGTATCTATTCTTTACGGGTCCTGGTTTGATATGGGATGTAGCTATCGCCGATATTTTGTTTGCTACAAGGGTGAGTTACCTGTTTTTTTAAATGTATTATTGAGGAGTTTAACTGTGAAAGAACAGCTATGAACTTATTCTTTTTTTTTTTTGCATCTCAATAGAAAATAATGGATACACCATGGTAAAAACTGCTAAAACTTGGAGTGATGCTCAGAGCTACTGCAGACAGTATCACACAGATCTGGCCACTATCCACAACTCTGAGGAAAATCAACAGATAACTCAGATTCTTTTTTCTGGATATTACATCTGGATTGGTCTGTTCCAGGACTCTTGGGAATGGTCTGATAAATGGAGCCGCTTCTTTAGAAACTGGGCAGCAGGACAACCATCCCAGACTTCAGGATCTGGAGACTGTGTCGGCATGTCGACAACCAATTCTGGGAAATGGGCTCAGGAAAACTGTGATCTACAGCAACCTTTTATCTGCTATGGATGTGAGCATCTTATAATTTAGACTATGTTAGACAGAATGACTATCATTTCATGTTCTGAATAGAAATATTGTTCATAACTGTATTTAACAGTGACTGGTGTACAAGCACAAATTCTAAAAACCTGACACTCAAAACAGCACAATATATTTTGTTTACTTTTTATTTCAAATAAATTATAGACTACACCCTACACTCTTAGAAAAAAAGGTTCTATGTATGTAGCATAGGGTTCTCAAAAAAATGATGATAATGACAAGAAAGAACACTTTTGGCACAAAGGTTCTTTATAGGCTATTATTCATTCATATATTACATTATTCTGGAACATTTTGCAGTTGTAATTAAATTATTGTTTATTAAACTGTTTTAGTAACTTAATATCACATTTTAATCATGCTGATTTTTGGAGGATAAAAACTGAAATGGCACTCTTCGTGTGATATTGATTAATTACATTTTTTAACCCCCATATCTTAAATTTTGTGATCATTGACATGCATTGTATTTTAGGGGATCCAAATACGTATCGCTTTAGAACCTTTTAAGGTTCTATATAGAACATTTTCTTCTAAGAGTGTATAGACCCCTTTACAGTTGGTAAACATGGTGACGTTTTTTGTGGGCGGAGCTTGGGTGGAGGCAGAAAGATCCCTCTGGCCGCTTCACTAACGTTAGTTAGCAAGGATTGTTAGCTTGTTTTTTAAAGGACAGGTTCGGTATTTTACAATTAAAGCCCTGTTTTAAGATCGTCCCTGATGAAATAGAATAGTTAAGATTGTTTTTTAGACAAATGCTCCTGTCACGAGAATTTTTGGATTCTGTGTTGGCACCCCCCCCACCTTTATAATGAAAGCATAGGTGCACTCGAACAATCATTCATTAAAACGCATAAAACTTTAGTTTACAAAGACGTGAAACTCACCGAGTGGTCTGGGGTGTTCACTGATATGCTCACACAAAAATTGCTGCGAAATATGCTTTCCAACAGGTTTTATCGTAGTTTTTGTCCAAGGCCATTTTCTTCCTGTTTTTGGTCGAAGTCCACAGTAGTCGATTATCGAGTTTGCGTGCGCGATCCTTAGTTATCTAGTTACCAATGATCGCGCACGTGAACTGGACAATTTACTACTGTGGACTTCGACCGAAAACAGGAAAAAATGAAGTCGGACAAAAACTACGATAAAACCTGTTGGAAAGCATATTTTGCAGTGTTTACATTTATATAGTGATATTTAATTTTATTAAAATAAGTGTTCTCCTTTTTCTTTACAATCCTGTCATTTCTCTCTTAAAGGGCGCAAGTACCAGTACCAGTTTATAAATGAAAGCAAGACATGGCAAGATGCTCAGAGTTACTGCAGAGCGAGATTCACTGATCTGGCCACTGCTGACAACATGAGTGACGTGAGTTTGCTGGTGAATTCAGTGGATGCTGGATACAGGGGTTCAGTATGGATAGGTCTCCACAATGGAGCAGAGTATCGCTGGGTCTGGTCTATGGGCTCACTGTCCCGGTATAGTAACTGGTATCCAGGAGAACCAAATGGTGATGGGGAGTGTGTGATTAGTTTTAATGGACGCTGGTATGATGAGAGCTGCAGTGCCGTTCTCCCATTTGTGTGTTTCAATGGTGAGTCCTCAAATCTGGTTCATTTTCCCCCAATACTTTATCTGATCCTGGACTAAGGGCTGGTCTTTATCTGGTGTTTCTGAACAGATAGCACTGGTTTCATCATCACTGAGACTGCTTTGACATGGAGAGATGCTCAGAGTTACTGCAGAAAACAACACACTGATTTGGCGAGTATCAGCAGCGCAAAGCAGCAGAATCTGATCGGTAATGCAGGATCGCTCTGGATCGGTCTGTTCAAGGACTCTTGGGAATGGTCTGATCGGTGGAATCTCAGTTTTAGAAACTGGGCAGCAGGACAACCATCCCAGAGTTCAGGATCCGGAGACTGTGTCGGCATATCAACAACTGATACTGGGAAATGGGCTCGATACAGCTGTGATCTACAGCAACCTTTTATCTGCTATGGAGGTGAGTTTCCACAGTTCAAATGATTCATACAACAGATTTATAGATCATTCTTCAAACAGACATTTACAAACAACTGTCATTGATAGGCTATATAGGGATGTAAAAATTCTCTCAACTCCCAACGCAATACTGGTTTCACGATGTGACTTAAGAAAAAGAGTCCTTTTATTTCTCAGACAAAATGCTGCAAATTTCTTTGTAAAATGGAAAAAACATTTTATGCCAAATAATAACACAAAATTGACATTTTAAAACAAATCCCCAAAATTTCACATTGTTATAAAGGCAAGATTTTACTATTATTTCTTATAATTTGTATCATTACACGTGCACGAGTTAAAAAAAAAATAGTCTAGAAAAACACATTTAGAAAAATAAGCCATATTAATCAAATTATTTAAAAACAAAAATCCATGTACACATTTGGAGAAAGAGATAGTAAATAAATACAAAACCTGACTATGCAATTCCATAGATTTCTCATTTAGTCTGTGAAATATTTAATGCTGATCTTTCTCTTGATGAGGCAGAGCCTGGAATGTATTTATTACGATAGAAAACAAACAGCCTCATAACGTTTGCCATGACAATACGATAGATAGTAAAAGAAATGGACACAGCGACCCCATAGACGTCAATTGAAAAGAGTGAAGTCAATTAGAAGCACTCACTTCCTGATTGCCATGCGCACTGTGCCGACTCATACTGAGCTTGACGATGTAGATGTGACGTGAGCACGCGTATCTGTTTATGACGACTAACCTTTAATTTCTCTAGATGACACGTTAATTAAAAAGCAGATCATCAGACTGAAATTGTCCTGTAATGGAGAATGCACATTGAATGATCCTTCACGTCAGACTGCCATTCTGAATGAGGTTTGTCTCTGCCTTAAAAATTGTGTTCAGTTTCAGTGTCAAATGTTGGGTGCATAACAGTAGCCTACCATGACAGACACCCACTAAATCATATAGCATTGTGCATGTGAGTTTTGAGCAGGCAAGCAACTCCCATATCACATTATTGCTGTTATTAGGACTTATTATGATTATTATTTTGCTGGTCTTCTAGATCAGTGAAAAGCTGAAGATCATGGGGTTGGAAGGTGACAGCAAAATAAACTGGAGGAAAGGTGAAGGTGAAAATGTGTTTCATCAGGAGATCACTCGTACAGCGAGTTCCAGTAATAAATGTAATAAAAAGTAATCTGTTATTTACATCATGTTAAAGGGGGTTTTATTTTTAGTCAAACTAGATTGCTCTAAGGAATTGTGAAGTAGTTGTAGTAGAATTATCTATATTATTTAAACACCATGAAGTGTCATTTTATGTAAAATATACCATTTACTAAAGCTTCTGTTTTTTAGTTTCTAGAGTATATGCAGAAATAAAGAGTGAAAGGATGATGATTTTTTTTTTCTCATAATGAATCTGAAGAAATTTGATTGGCAGAAATCAATCTAAGCAGAAGTGCAAATGTTACAACTTACCCCATATGCGGGCGGGGTTAATTGGAACAGATAGAGGGGTGAGTTGTAACACTTGTGTAACACGCATAATTCAGTACTATTGTATTTGTATAGTTTGATATTGCTTGTGCATCTGTATATAGATATCTGTGTACATCCATCCCTCATCCAATCATCCTCTATTATGGATCAATATAGAAAAGGGCTGCATAGTTTTACTATAAATAATAATAAATAAAATCATAAAATATTGTAATTGCAATTTAAGTACACTCTAAAAAATGCTGGGTTGTTTTAACCCAATTTTGGGTAAAATATGGACAAACCCAGCCATTGGGTAAAAACTTTTATTATTATGAATAATAGTAATAACAGTAATAATAATACAAATGAGCTTAAAATCACAATTTATAGGGTTTAATGCATTAAAACACAGGCCATATTTTTTAATAAATGAACATTGCATAGTAAACTAAATTTTAAACATTTTAAATTCCAACATTGTTTGTTAAAGACCACAAAGTTAAATGTATAAATAAATACTCAAACCTGAAAAGTTGTGTGTCCCTGTTTTCATTTGATTATCATTGTACACTTGGCGGCTTAGTTGTAACACTGTGCTACAACTAACCCCGCTGTGTATTACATTTTAAGCCTAACTAACAGAAGGAATTGCTGACATGTTTCAAAACGGTGCTATGTTTGAGCGAACAAGACCGTGATTAAGACAATATAAGAGTAGATTTGGAAACGTATACACCCAACTCAGAAACCGAAAAAATATACTTCCATGGTGTCAAAACTCTTTGTCCAGTATCTTCACGAAATATTATCAAAATTTGCGGGAGACTGTCTTGGCAGCAAGAGAAAAAGAGCGGAAAGACAACCTGCTTCTAAATATGTAAAAGGTCCGTGTTACATTTAACCCCGCGTTATGTTGTGCCTCGCGCTCCCCTATACACAACGAACTGGCAAAACATGAGGGCAAGAAAACACACATATATATGGAGCTGAGAGCAAGAGGAACAGGTTAGCACACTCAGACAAGGAACAAGTGAACACACTCAGGCAAACAAGGACACAACTAGTATAGACAAGAGTGTGTGGTACTGGGAAACAAGGAGGGAGGAACAGAGAAGCACATGACCAACACAAACAAAGACAGAGCCATATGTTCAAGCACAACACAAACAGAAACATGAAACAAAGATAACACAGACTGTCAGGGCAGAATCCTGCCAGCAGTGATGTGATAGAATGTGCCAGAAGATCTTCAAGTGAAATGAGCGATTTGAATATTAAAATCACGCTTTGCTTGGCATCACTTTCAAATGTAATTTAATCCTTATGCTGCAGAATGCTAAAATATCCTCAAATAATGATTTATCCTTCATTTATTACTGTATATAAGTAAAAGCATTTAATAGTGTAGGGATGCTGGGATTAAATTTTCCAACATTTTGGAAAAAGTGGGAATGCAACATTAGAGTGTGATGATGCTAAGCCAAAAAAAGATGATATAAGTTGTGAATCAATCAGCGGATGAGGGTTCTTTATGAATTTAACATTTGCACATTTTAACTTAATGCATAATGCATGTGTCACATAAACTGTGACATACTGGGAAATTAGGCAGGCAAACAGGAACATAACTAACAGAAACTCAACAAAGGAGAACATGATCTTGACATTAAATATGGAAAGTACTTGTCATCACAAAAATCAGCCTGTCATTTAAATGCATTTGACCTCCTTGTAGGCAAATCCAAACAAGTAAACATTCACTAATTAGTTTAGAAATTGTGTTATGGACTACAGGAAAAAATTATTTTATTATTTTTATTTTATTTTTATTTTTTATTTTATTTTATTTTTATTTTATTTATTTTTTTAATTAACTAGCCTCTACCCAGACTGTTCCATAGGCTAAACTCAAGTATGGCTATGAACTTTAATTTCATTCATTTCATTTAATTTCATTAAGTTCATTCAAATAAAAGTTTCAGTCGGAGAGAGAAGACGCATCATAATTATTAGTTAAGATACTTGACAGTTTCAGTTTAGTTAATCTGTAGCATTACGACGATTATTCAGCTGGTTTACATATACATTGAGTCGCTGTGTGCGTACATACCAAGTAAGTTTATATTTCCAAGTTTTTCCGTTAGTATGCAGAAACTGTTAGACGATGTTCATTAGCGCGCCGCGAGCGGTACCTGATTGGCATAAATCTGCCTGTATTACTTCTTCTTTAGTAATTTTTCGGAGATTCTGCATGTTACTTAACTTTATGTTATGTATGAGACATTATTTATTATTGGTTTTACGGTTACTTTAGAGATGATCATTATCATGAGGTAATCAGCGCCGTATACTGAGCATATGGAATGTCTAGTTAATTAGCACCTTCTTGTGGTGATGTTTAGAATTATTATTCTGTTTGATAGCACTTCCTTAATGGGTTTGTTGGACTGAATGCTGTTAATAATGTTTATTATTAATGATGTATATGTATGCTAATATTTATTTCTTTGTTTATTTGTTATAGAACCACACCTACATACCCGGGGTATGGGGTATGATACCCCATATGTAAATCAACCAGCTCTTCAGTAAATAAGTGAAGTTTGAACCCTGCCTAGTGTTTCTGTTCAACTAAGCCTCATCTTATACAGTTCTGACCGACTGCTTGCTGCGTTTCACATCCATTAAAATTAGTCTACTATCGAACCTCTTCATTTCAATATGGGATGTAGCTATCTTCGATATTTTGTTTGCCACAAGGGTGAGTTACCTGTTCTTTTGAGGAGTTTAACTGGGAAAGAACAGCTGTGAACTTTTTTTTTCTCTCAATAGAAAATAATGGATACACCATGGAAAAAACTGCTAAAACTTGGAGTGATGCTCAGAGCTACTGCAGACAGTATTACACAGATCTGCCCACTATCCACAGCTCTGAGGAAAATTCTGATTTTTTTTTTCTGAAATTCTGATTTTTTTTTTCTGGATATTACATCTGGATTGGTCTGTTCCAGGACTCTTGGGAATGGTCTGATAAATGGAGCCGCTTCTTTAGAAACTGGGCAGCAGGACAACCATCCCAGACTTCAGGATCTGGAGACTGTGTCGGCATGACAGCAACTGATACTGGGAAATGGGCTCATGAAAGCTGTGATCTAAAGCGTTCTTTTATCTGCTATGGAGGTGAGTTTTTGTTTTTGGACAAATCTGATCACATTAGATAGAATGATTTTTGAACTGTTCAAAAATTGTTCAACCTGACAATGCAAGAGACTGTATTTGCATGCATTTTTCCGGTATGTTGTTTCCAACCAGTAGAGTTTGGATAATGGGCAAAAATCTGCAAGGGTTTGCTTAAAGGGGTCATGCTGTGTTTGTTTTTGAACTCCCTGAAACACCTTCTGAGATTTCTCCAATGAACAATAAAAACCTAAAAAAAAAAAAATAAAAAAAAATCAAATAAAAAAACAAGAAAAAGTGGCATAATGGTCCCTTTAAAGTTTAAACGGTGACACTTTACTTAAAGGGGTGTGCATAAGACTAACATGGCACCTTCATAATCATGACATGACATATGTTTTGGATATGAAGGAAGTATGCATGTTTATGACAACTGTTATTAAGTGTTATTCACTCAGTTATGACCTTTTTAATGCAAATATGACATTGTTTGAGATGTCTTTGTTATGACACCTTGACATAAACAATACATCATTACCTGTCAGTGTCTTTGTCATGACAACTTGACATTACTAAGACAACACAACCTGTCATAAACATGACAGATCTTAAAAAAACACCTAGCTTTATTGGTTAACATTACATTAAACCATCAGGTGGTTGGTTTTGACATTGGCTGTCATGAGGCCATTATAACTTTTTAATGACAAATTAAATTAGTACCACTGTAGTTGAGGTCACGAAAAATATTCATGACACAGTTATAATGGCCTCATGACAGCCAATGTCAAAGCCAACCACATGACAGTGTAACTTAATTTTATGTCAAGTTGTCATGACAAAGACACTGACAGGTTATGATGTTATGGTTTTTATGCCAAGATGTCAAAAGAAAGTCATCTTAAACAATGTCATATTTGCATTCAAAATGTCATTACTGAGTGAAAGACACATAATGACAGTTGTCATAAGCATGCATAAACCCTACTTCACATTCAAGACATATCTGTCATGTCATGGTTATGAAGGTGTCATGTCAGTCTTATTCACACACCTTCAAGTAAAGTGTTTAAACAATCGATGACCTTTACCCCCCTAAAAAAAATATATATATATTTATAACTGTTTGGATGACCTTGGGTTATTAATTATAATTGTATAAGATTGTGTATGTAAACTCGCTCACTTCTGCATGTATTAAAGTACTTAAGTAAAGTAAGTTTTTTTTTTTTTTAAGATGGTTTATTGCATTTCTCTGTCACATTCTTTTTTATTTTAAATAATTAATATAATATAAAAAAAATATATAACTTGAATCTCTGCATCAGAAATAATAGTGTTAGTACAAACACTAAATTATTTTATACAGTTACCACTGTTACTTCTCCTGATTATTATTATTCTTTCTTGCTGGTCTTCTAGATCAGTGAAAAGCTAAAGATCATGGGGCTGGAACGTGACAGCAAAATAAACTGGAGGAAAGGGGAAGGTGAAGAGGGGAAGGTTTCATCAGGAGATCAACCATACGGCCAACTCAAATAATACATG